CGTGGACTAAGATCGATTACACTTCTTTCCATCGTCAGACAGGCTTGAAGAACACAATGCCGTGAGCCGCTGAACCTCCTCGAACTCCTCTCGAATTATTATCCATGTATTGAGAGAAACGAGCCCCAATTAAGTATTACACATTACTTATCCAGGGCTCAGAGGAGTCTCATATCGAGCCTAAGAGAAGTATGTTTTCCGGGAGACGCTTTCAGAATATGATTTTGCCGCAATGAGCGTTCTCTTCTCGCTGTGTTCCGTGCCAAATGATCATTTCAATACTCCGAACGTGACACGAGATGCTATCGAAATGTTGGATGTGCCAGACGTGAACTTCGCCGCCGGAAATGATTTTAGTCGCTTGGACGTTGTTTTAGCTCTCGACACACGTTGTTATATCTTCGATCTCGTTTTGGCGAAGTTCAACGAACTCGAGAACGGACGGGACCAGGCTCATGAGAAGTATCGATCCCAGCACGAGCGATAATAGACTCCTCGCGTGCGGAAAAGTTCTCGGAGTGGCAAATGCATTCTGTAGTCCATCAATAGCAGAGGCCCTGAAGAGAGGTAGGTAAATAATCTTCTCCTATGCGAATCGGCGATTCCCGAGGAAGAATCTCGTCGCCCTACGGAAGAGGCCCAACTGTCATTCTCCATGAGTGCTCCATGCGTGCTGAAAAGGCCATCTCGATCTGTGTTCTCTGACTGTTCCTTTTCCATTCCGTGCGAGAATCGGCGACTGGTGATCCGTTGATCGCGTGGGACAAACGGCAATTATTTGACCTTCCGGATGGACATTCACAATCTGTCGTCACAGTGACGAGTTCGACACCCACAGAGGGAAAATAATAAGTTTTTACAACTTCCTCCAATGCGAATCTGATTTATTCCTTGAACGAGACTGAAATTCGTCGAATCCCGCAGAAGCGCTGCAGCGCCACGGACATTTCCAGTGGAGAATCGCGGTTTCCCTTCGTATGATTGTTGCGATAAGATGGAACGTGGATCCTCAGGCTGATGTTCTGTGCAGAACGATACCCGTGGAACGTCGAGTCCGGGTCGAAAAGGGACTTTACCCCAGCGCCCCCATTATCCGGCTCCCATGGGCATCCCCCCGCCCATGGGCATCCCCCCGCCCATGGGCATTCCCCCTCCCATGGGCATTCCCCCACCCATGGACATTCCCCCACCCATAGGCATACCCCTTCTCCTGTTTCCTCCTCGACCACCTCTCCTGCCCCCTCGCGAGCCTCCTCCTTGGGCCGCGACAAAGGCGAAAATCAACGAGAAGAAACCGAGGAACAGTAGGAGCTTCATTGCTGGAACCTCCGCGGAATCTGGACGGATAATCAAGTCCCGTGCTTCCTACTCAGAAACTTGGAGCTTTATAGGATGCTCTGATTCGCGTGACTCGATCGGGCTCGTCTCACGCAATTCTCGAGATTTCCGTCACAAAACAACAAAATGCGAAAGCTGTCACTTCAGAAAGATTGACGCCGCAATCTAAATTCCGTTTCGCTCTGCGCGGCTCCGCTGGATCCGAATCGATGGATGAAATTAAGTTCTTCAGTGCGTCTCCAAATTCACCGTACACAATCAGATGAAACGAAGTTCAGCTCACGGGTGACGTTCTTGGTCCTCTACACGGTCGCGAATCTTCTTCAGTTCTTCACATCCACAGCGACACCTTTCACCGGAACGATTGCACTCCAACTGCTCGGACGGCATCGGGTCTCCCAGAAGTATAAGGTTCCGTGGGTGCGTGATCGAAGTGCGAGGGAAGTTTCCGGAGAACTTCTTGAAATCACCGACACGTGATAGCGCCTGTCCGCTTTTGTGAGCGGAGATTCTCCCTTGGAGCGGTTCCAAGATGTCTAGCGAAGCTCTTTCTTGATGAAACTTTTCCCCATTCGCGTATGACGTCATCATAAGGTCTGCCCCATGGTACGTGGTATACGATGACTTCATCCAGAACCTACGGAGTATCTTCATCTGGAGGCGCAAGGAGAATGCTGAAAGACTCTCATCTTTGTAACCTTTCTCTCAGTATTAACCAATCCATCTTCCCTTCCTCGTATAAATATTTTCCATTGCTTCCACTGAACGTTTCAGAGGCGAAAGCGCGGGCCCGGACTCAGTGTCAAAGCTCAGAAGGGAGCTTTTGTTCAGAGCTTTTGTTTGATTCAAGCTGTGAAATCAGGCGGTCGCGACACGGGAGAGGAACTCGAGTATCGATGGAGAATCGGTCGATCTGGTAAGCATCGGATCACAGTTTCTGGTCGAACCTGGCTCCTCATGGGGAGTTCGAGCCAATAAAACGATGTCATCGAGTATGGGACGACTCTTCACCGTAGATTCGAATAAATCTCTCGGATTGAGAATCTATCCCAATCAGACTTGGTGACCAAATGGATAAACGGTGCTCCGTGAATTAGGTTCCGGAGGCCCGACTCCTTAATGCCCGTCTTCCTTATACCCGACTCCTGGATCCCCGTTTCCCTTATACCCGACTGCCTGATGCCCGACAATAGAAAGCCTTGCTTTAGGTCCTGCTCAACCCTACCGGCCGTCCAGCATTTGTACAACACAGCTTCTATGGTCATACGGTCTTTCCATGCACCTGTCAGATCAAATGTTTCTTCGGCAAATCGGTTGAGATCCCAAACTGATATACTTCGCAAACGGTTCGAATGAAGGAAATTGTTTGATTTCTCGATCGAATCTCGAGATGAGTGCAAGGAAGAGGAAAACTCATCAGTTTTGATGTCATTGACATCCTCGCACATGCCAATATCCGGCAAGAAGGATTTTCCGTCGTCGAGATTCATTCCGAACAGGTATTACTGCTCACTTCATCTGCAAGTATTGTTCCCACCTCCATCACTGCTTCACCTAATCGCAATGATTCCAAGATTATGTTCCGGCGGCGGGAGCATCCGTATGCCTCATCATCCCATGAGTATGGTGTCATCGCCATCGTTTTTGCGCATGACGAATCCTGGGGGAATAAAGCTCCCGATGAGGATGAAACTCGGGCGCGCCGTGCAGGTCCAGCACATAGAGAACCACATTTCCCATTGTACCCGCATATGTTTTCCGGACTCTCTGACGATTGCTTCTCAGTACGGGATGATTCTCGTTCCTCATTGAAGAATAAATTACCTTAGTCGAATGTTGGACTGTCGCGGTCGGCACAGCTCCCAGGTCTCGCAGGAAGCAGAGCATGTCAGATTTTTCGAGCAGGGCCGAGCTAAAATAGTAGAAATATTAGCTGCCAGGGTAGAATTGCGTGTATTCAACTCTTTGAGGGAACAAGATCTCGGAGAAAGGCATCGTCGCTATCAAAATACTCAAGTCATCCGAAATTCAGCACGATACAGTTTCTACGATAATGTTCGCATCCGAACTCGAATCCCAAGGATGTGGGAAGTTTCCGCATCGAAGCTCGGTGTAGAGTGTAGAGGGTGCGGGAGGGTAGTGAATCTTCTTTCTTCTGCGACCCTCATCAGACGCATGGGGAGCTCCCGAGCGTAGTTAGATCGGTATGCCCTCTTAGGACATGGATACATAGGAACAAAACTATGATCAGGCGCCGCTCCGCGACGAACTCCTGCTCGGACAGATTCCAGCAGCTCTCATCGATTGATTATTATCATCGAGGAGCTCTCCCATTCTCGGTCCGAGAAACCACCTCTCATTGGTCGCCTGCCTCGCTTTAATTGATCCGAAATTCCCAAATGAGACCAAGACGCTTAAGTCTATGTTTCCGTTCCGAAATCAGACGCGAGGAGAGCTTCATCCGAGCTCATCGAGCGGTTCCTCCGACGGTTCTTTCAGATGCGACTTCGAATGTGGTCGAGAGCCGGATGCTCAATACCGCGAGAGGGGTATCTGCTTGCTGACCCTCGGTCGTGGGTTGCTGACCCTCGAGGCGCATCCTGAATATTCTTGGATGCCAGCCCATGCGGTCATCGTCAGTCATCCTGCCTCAGTCAGCTGAATTATAAGCTTCGCATGCTTTCATCTCAGGTCCTGTGCTCCCGAGTCCTCACGATCTATGGGAGCATATGGTATCTCACATGAGTCCCATAGAGAGTGATTAAGTCAGTGCCACAGATGGGACTGACTGGATGAGAGCAGCCTTTAACAATACGACCAGAACGGAAGCTGACTTTCCGCTTGCGTTGCTGCTTCTCCCGGCGAGTTCATTTTCTGATCCTTCCTCTCGAGAGGAACGGCGAGAAACGCGTCTCAGTTCTCGAGGATGGGAAGCCTCAAGGCTCGGCGGCCGGATCCGAGGTCGAACCGAGGCCTTATTTGAAGGTTTGGGCTGAACTCGATACACACGCCTGAATCGGTCGGAAGAGATCCGAGCCCTTAGAGCTAGCTGCCTACCTCTTCCGTGTCGGGCTCGCTCCCCAAATCATTAGTATGACTCGTGACGTCAAGAATCGAGAAAACAGCTCGAAGCAGACGCAAAGGGAGAATGAAAACGCTCCCAATCTCGCTGAGCGAACATCTGCTGTTGTTTATTACAAGCTGGAACTCTAAAAATAAATTAGGAACAGATGAATGATATTCACCCGGTAGCACCCGCTGCGTCGAGGTCGAAACTCGTGATATACCCAACTAACCTAACCGATATTCAGCGTCAATACAGCTCGCTCAGCCGCCCCCGACGTCGGAGCTCATGAAGTCTCCGGGCCTCCCTGAGTGCGAGGCGTTCAGGGTAATAGAGTAACTTACTCATATACGGTGTTCTTCCGTAAACGTAGTAGCTGGTAGATATTATGAAGTCTGCTGTTGGTCTGACCGATCGCAGAGGAGCAGGGGAATTTTCGCGAGAGGAACGATCCGAGTCAGATGAGCTACCGAATCTCGCTCCGAGTCCGCGGTGAGATCGATGGCTTGAGTCGATTCCCTCACGCCCTTGCGCTAACTCTGTCTCTGTATATGGCGAATCTCAGCAGAGCAGTCCTTCTCGTCGTCGGCGCTTCCAATCAGCTGCTCTTACCGACACAGCCGTCTTCATACGGGAGCTCTCTCAGATGAGCCTCCACTCGAGAACGGTAAGTCCTGTGTGCTTCGTCCCTCTCGTTCTCTAGATTGTCGAAAGTAGCCACTACGTCATTGTAGATATAACAACGGCTGTCAGTCGCCAATACGACGTCATTGTGGCTCAGACTATCTCCTTCGATGAATTTGGAGAATGTCGGCTGGAGCGTGTCAATGACGCCTTGCGCTGACTCGGGGCCGTTGAAAGGATCATTGTATACGTAGAATATCGAAATCGGGACTTCGATAGCCGCGAAATCGTATTGCGTCGGCGTTTCCTGGATGAGGGGATTCGGTTAGGTCTCGATTTTTTCCACCTAAGAGGACCCGACGGGTTCAAGACTTGACTTACGCTCCCGTACTGCCCCGTATTGGTGAAACCGGTTTGGGGATAGGACGACGAGAAATCTAATGCGCTCCAGATGATCGCCAGCCTCTGATCGGCGAAGTTCAGAGCCGCCATGGGACCGGTTCCGCCCACCTGTTCGGTCTCATAGACTTCTACGCGGGTCTGCGGCAAGATTGGCGTAAGTGGAATGAATATTTCTCGATTGATTGTCACATCAGCGGGTTGAGCGGCTCGGACTGCACCTTGTTAATGTGAGAGTCAGTGAAGCGAAGCGTTTGCATATCCCGTCCGACAGCGGCGGCAACGATCAGGTGGCAGACAAGGGGAACTGCGTTGCACACCAGCGATCTGATGTAAGCGATGGTGTCCTCGTCAGGATAGGCGAGGAGCTGTCTGCCGAAGATCGCTCTGAAGAGGAACTAGCACATGGAAGTAAAATCGATGTAAGCAACACGAGCTACGTGGGCCGAGAGAGTCTCCAAAGGAAGATTCTTCGCTTAGATCGCATTTTATCCCTCGAGTCGCCTCACCGTTGGCAAGTAGTGAACAACGGTGGGGCCGATCAGCACAGCCGCGAGGAAAGTCTTCGGGGTATCCAAGCCGAACCTGAGAACAGGTGTCAGAGCCGCGAAGTGAGAAATCTGAAAGGGAGAGGAATGGTCGATGGGAGAACAAAGTTGGAGAGTCGACCCTCGAAGAGGACCTTTTTTCCTCGCGTCTAGTCGGGACTTCTTCGGACATCCGCGGGCGCTGATCTCAGTGATTAGAGGAATGCAAACCCTCGACTCACCTGGCCGTCAAAAGTATGGTTGGTGGAGAGGAAAGCAGACATGAGCGTTCCGCCCATGGAATGGCCAGCAACGTAAATTTTGGACTGCTCAGTGGTGCTGAGAACTTCTTCGATTACAGAGGGGAAGTCGAATTCTGCCATGTACTGCCAACTGTGAAGGAAAATGTGGCATTGAGCATCGCGCGCTCCCCTTTCTAAAACCTTGAACTTTGAAATTTCTCACAGGTATCCCGCTTCTCGCATAGCTGCATAGAAGTGGAGGAGACCCACTCACCCGCTACGATAGTACTCTTCAGCCGTGGGCTTCCTCCGTCTTCCTTCGTCCAATATACGATCGCTGAAGTGGTTCCCTCGCCAATTAGGGAGCCAAACATCGTAGCCGCTGTCCGCTAGGATGAACGCAGCGCTCTCGTTTCGCAGGTTCCAGATAAAATCGAAAGCGGTTCCTACGAATCCGTGACCGAGGATCACAGGCGACGAGACCTCCGCGTCGAAAATCTCCATGTTCCGCACCCTCCAAACCTCGAGGATCCACCCGTCGGGCGTGACGACGTCATGTATGCTCAAGTTCATGCCATGAAGCCCGGCATAGGCAACCTGTAGGGACAGTGATGAAACCGAGATTCGAATTTAATTAAAGTGGGTGACAAGTCGCTTCGAGGCTGAGGCGGGGGATCTTGAGGAACCGTCGCGGAATCGACTTCGTACTCACGAAGTCTTTGTTCTGAAGAACGGCCTTCTCTTGCTCGAGGTCAGGAAAATAAGCACTTTCGCCAACCTTGGCGAAGATGGCGAAAAACAATAATCCGAGATTCATTCTAGCACTTAGACAAGCAGCTAGGTGTGAACTGAGCAGGTAAGGGATCCGACTTTTATTCAAGCAGAAAACGTCCAGAGGGAAAGAGCATACGGATTCGAAAGCTCTGAACAATGGCAATTTGTGTGACTTCGTCTACCGCCTTCTCGCTTATGTCATGCCTTAATCTGCTTATCCGATCCCGAGAGTCGGAGAATTTCATGAGAGGCCGTGGGACTCATTAGACCAGACCAGACCCTTTCGCTCAAAGTTCCTCTAAGATAGGGTATCACAAAACTTTCGCAGCGAATGCAATCGCGTTGGCCTCTGTGTGAATCGAAGTCTATCCCGGTCACGGGAATTATTGATTCAGGAATTCAGGGTCAGGGAGGGAGCCTGCACGATTTGGAGGACCAGGACGAGAAGATCGAAATCATGCATCATAAATACGGGGCGTCGCCGACGCCTTCCTGCATCAAACTTGGGAATGGCTGCCGCGGATCGTTCAGTCAACCTCTCACGGCGCTGGCGGGCCTGGGCATCAGCTCATTCTGAAACCAGCTTCGGAATGCCCTCTTCCCCCGGACGCTTGTCGGATTTTCATCAAGCGCCCGTCTATTGATGGAAGTGATCTGGGGCGTTGCTGTCAACAGACTGAGCTTCACCTCTTCTACACTCTCTCTCGACACCAGAGTGAATCGATCCATTTCAGCCAAAAAAATGGATTCGTACATGCTACTCATGTACATACGATCTCACATCCATTCCTAATTTATGACCGAGTGAAACATATCTTAGAGAATTGGGGTATATCAGCGATCAAATATTCATGCAGGTGAGTACGTACTTATAGCGCGACCTACGCACTGCGCCGCTCAAGGACCAGAACTACCGACACTTCATATCAAGATATACATTATCGTTCTGAGACCCCGACTGACTGGATCACAATCACTAGGTAGAGGTGAAGTTTGCACCCTCGGACATGGCTATGGCGCTGGTCACATAGTTGGGGAGTCCCGAAAATATCCAGAAGATCCCGTAGAATCTTTGAGCTGCTTCTCACGTGAGATATCCTCCCAGAATGAGCGCATCTTGCCCGCATTGCCCTCCATTCAGTGCGAGATGCTGGAGCTCTTTTTCCATAGAGTCTCATGTGGGACAAATCGCTCATTCACAGGAGAACCAGAGACGAAATCAGGCCGGATGTAAGAGACATCTTCCGGATCTCCGCTTTCATGGGATCCCTCGATCATGCTCGCGTAAATCTACATATACTAGGAGAATTAAAACAGTTTATACCTTGCTTCAGTTACTGAATAAACAGGATTGTCGCTGGAATGAGGTGTGGAGCACACAACTCGGATATTGGAGAAGACCGGATGTGAGAGAGTTGTTCCAAGTTCGCGCTGATCCTCCTATGAGCGGGTTCGACTGCATGGTTGTGAACGAGTCAACGAGTGCGACAGAGCATCGTCGCTCGTAGGTGGATCCAGCGTGAAGGGTGAAACTGCATAAAGATCAGTGGATTCTGAACAGCAGAGAGGAAGTTTGGAACACGGAAAGACCGAGAGACGAAAAACCACTGACCACAAAGCGGTCCATCTTTCTCAGATCTCGTAGGCTGGAAGACGTCTCCGACAATGCAGGTTCGCGCTTACCCTAGCGGTGGTCGTGGGGGCCGTGTATCATATCGCGCATATTTTATCGCGAACCTGCTCCTCGAGTGTGAGGCTTCCACTTCAGAGACGGAGCTTCGCTCGTTCGAGCAAGAGTCATAAGCAACGACTGTAGAGGCCGTTGGTGAATCTCATGCCGGAGGGTCTTCCCAGTCAGATTTTCATTCGGGCTTTCTGTGCGACTTTCATGGCTTATCCTTCGCTCATCCTGAGAATCAAGCGTAGTTCTCCTCACGATTGTGGTGGATTGACGTGCGACGACCGAAGTCATTCGAACCCTACATTTCTCAACGCGGAATTCCGTAGCGAGGATGCGGTGGTTTCTCTCACCGCGAAATCTCATGATCTCAACAGGAGCACCATTTGACTTCAGGAGATTGGACGATTCCTCGCTTTTTATCCGGATAGCTACACGTTGCTCTCTCTCAGACCATCGAATCCGTTCCCACACCGCCCTCAGGGACCGAGGGCACAATTATTCATCGTCAAGTTTCGGAATGAGTAATTGACCTGAAGATTACAAATCGCTATTGATTCGCGAGAGGATGATTCCCTCAGACATTATACTATTCTCCCGACCGAATGCTTCCCTGTCGAATCAGGGGTCGGATACAGAACAGCGCGTGTTCCTCGAAGAGGAGCGCGTGTCGCACAGAGGGTCCACACTGTATCCTCGGTGGGACTTGGGGTCATAGAAACATTCGATTCTGTCTGGGCGCCTGATTCCATGGAATCAACCATGTGATCAATATTCGCATCGCCGTCACTCGGATCCGAAATCGTCGCGCCTCCTCAGTCGCATGACCTGATGATTACCAGTGGCGCTGAGCATCGAAGCACCTCGCCTGAGATGCCTGTCCCAGTCGCTCTCAGAACCTTCCCTCCGTGCACTCGTCCGATTAAACGAGAGTGCGAATACTTCTCCTGCGGCTAATCATTTCTCCGCCAGAACAGAGCATAGCAAGACTTCCTCGTATCTCAACAACTGTCGGATAATCTCGCGAGGTTTTCTTTATTTCGAGCTTTTGTGGGGCACGAGGAAACTTTGCCAGGGTAACTGTTGCTCCGAATTCGGGGAAATTCTTCGGAAGTAAAAAATTCCTAGGTAGGAGTGAGGTCCCATATCTCCGCATCCTCCCCGGAGGGGCATCGTGATGAGCCGCTGCCAGTGAACGCTAGTGACGAATAAAATCTACTCATATTGTACATGCATCAGAATATATCAGTGTATATTTGAAGTAGAAAACTAGCATTAATACATACAACGGAACCTGAGGTAAAGACCGCCACCCTAATCAGTCCATTTCCTCCAGGCTACGAATGACAGTGAAACCTGTCTGATCAGACCACGCACGGTGCCGTGGAAATGCGCTCCGATAGCTCAGGTGGTCCCTTTAGGCTTCTGGTATAGTAGAGACACTTTAGTGATGGGTTCGCATTGAATTCTCCAGAGCATACGAGAATCGTCCCCGTCACATACCTTCGTACATATTGGTAATATGCTTTTCTCATAAGGCCCTTTCATGAAGGACGGAGTTTCTAGAGGACTACTGCTCACAGACAGCCTCATACTACGCAAGTCCTGACCCTGATAATCGACGCTTATATTCCTAATTCTCTCGGAATGAGATCTCGGTGACTTGCATTCCTCGAGCAGAATTGATACCACCAAGACTGAAAGAGACAGTCGGTATCCACCTTGTTTGAATCGATTTGCTCTGATCGTAATAAGTATTTAGGTTGAGGCATGTGGACGATGCGGTCGATGAGCTGCCGAATGGGCCGATTGGCTGAACGATGGGGTTATTTCGAATTTCGGCGGGGGATACTGGCGTGAACAGGATTGTTGTCACGAAGAGATATATCTGCCAGGCGGGCGCGTTATCTCCATGAAGGGACTGCCGCGTTGCGATCTCGCTGAACTCGAATAAACGATCATTGGCGGACGGCGCGGTGAGATTCTTGTGTCTCGAAATCGGATAAAGCTCGGGGAAATCCGACGCTGTCGCTAGATGAGTTTGTCTCCTGCATTCGGAATTCCCCATGTTTCACATCATCTGAAAAATTTCCTGTCTGGTCATGGTCTGATATCATCCGTAGATACTCTCGGGAAGGAACAAGCCAGATGAGCCCTGTGATATCGCTGCTGCGAGGGTCCTCGGATCCGGGGAAAAAGAAAAAGCATGACACACATTACAAGCCGCGTCGAACTGATGTTCGAGAGTCACACCGGATACGTGCAGCTGTGCGTTGCCATGCTGCAGAGTAGGCATCATGATCCCATCATTATTAAGGGATTCCGGACTCATTCATAATTGCCGAGTCGATCACAGATGGTGCCATGTATCAGGATCCCTCGATCAATGCGCTCTATGCACCTTCAGAAGCTTTCAGGCGTCGGCCAATCCAACGTGTCGTCGAGGACTCTGGCGAGTGTTTCGTATGGCCCGGTCAGAAAGAAAAATTCCCATTGTTTTCACTCGACAGAATGAATCATCGGGCCCGATCCAGGGATGTCGCCCGTTCTGCAACAAGGCACCTCCTCGCTTTCGCGGAATCAGGTCATGAGTCCAGGAGACCGAGATAGATCTCGATGTTTGGCCACCATCAGTGAGACCTATGTGCATCGTCGCGCTAAGCGAACCGTGGCCGAGGACACTCCCTTCAAACCCCTGCTGCAGCCCTCGAAGAACCATCCCACGTCAGCCCCTCTGATCATTCATTGTGAGCTTAAGATCTTCAAAATGCTATCTGGGTCACCCCGTTTCGGTCTTTAGGGTATTAGGTATTCCCACAAGGATGGGAGTCGGAGGCGATGGCGCTTCCGATCCCAAACCATACACCTATAGTTTATTCTGCACAGATGCATGACTTTGCGAAGGTTGCAGCCATGTTTTCCATGATTCGCTTGTCCGATCTGGGAGTGCTCCGAGCTCCCACAGCTCCCCAGCTGTTTTCGAGAAGCAAACAGGTTTGCCCTCGATAGCCGAGTGGAGCTATGATGCTTGAAGAGTTCACTCGAGCACTCGAGTTTGTGAAATCGCAGAAGTCTCTCGAGCAAATTTTGGAGAGCTTTGAATATTATCGGCGAATTATTTTACAGATTTTTCATCGCCCGACGTAGCGCGGTCACTTCTCGCTGATCTTCATGACTTCCGCGAGCACGGGAAAAAAGGTCCAGGTGGAGCTGCGACGACGGCGACGGCTCATCGGGCCATAAGCGAGTGAAAGAAGTCTCTCGCAAGAAGCGAGCGCTCCGACTCTGGCTTCGAAGGGGGAAATACGAAGTCCAATTCCTTAGGTCAGGTTCGGCTGCTGGACTTTCGCTAAGTCAAAGAAACCGCGGATGTCATCTCCGCCGAGGTCTAGGGAGTGAGAAAGGAATGGCGATTTTTGTACCGAGAAAAGTTCGAGTTCGCCGACAAGGAACTCCAATTCACTCATAAGCCGATCCTCAGCGACGGAAACATTGCGCGGATACCCAGCGATGTTCCTCCAATGTCCATTCTTCGCGTTCGTACGCCGGGCGTCCGGAGCCATGAAAGCAGATATACAAGGATTGCACACTGATTGGAGCTCGATGAGCATGCTCCCCAGACTGGGAAACGCGCGTGATCGGAATCACCCGCTCCTGCTGTATGTCCAATGTAGTCTGCCAGGCTTCCAAGCCATACAGGTAAGAAGGGAAGGGAATGCGCAGCGTGTGCTGATTACCCAAGAGTCGCTGAACTGCATCGTTCGCTTCTGTCACGGATCGTCGACATTCCGCCCATCATCTCCAGCCAACTGTGTCAGGACTGACCACATGAATCCCGCAATCTCTGAGTGATGGACGGTATTCTATCTCATTGCAGCATTGAAATATTGGATTCGTTCGACGATGCCGAGAAAATTTCTCTCACGATGATGATTTGTATTGCGACGAATACGGGATTCGATATCCAATGCCCGCAGCAACGTGCGGCTCTTGTGACTGATAACTGTTATCAGCGATCAGGACTCGTCCTCAGGAGGCTGCGATTCGCGATATACGGGGATCTGGCGGGGAATCAATGTACGTATATCGTAGGAGGATCATTCGGGGAATCGACCAACAGAATTCGACCGATGAGAATATATTCCAGTTCGTTTTGACAAGGAACGCTTCGATTTATTGGAGATCATTGGCAGAGTTGACAGGAGCAGCTCACTCTACAAATATACATGTCATAGTATCAGAATCGTCAGGAGCATCCTCAGGATGAGCTGTGCGAGTCCCGGGTTCGAGAGGCTATTCTCTAGAGCACATTCGATGACACGTTCGTGTGTATCACACCAGAAACCTATCCGACGCTTCCTATGCCCAATGGATAGAATGAAAATAGGTACAATCGATGCCTCGATGAGTCGTTTGGAAATACTCTAGATGAAGCTATGGGGAGCTGTCGATTGTGTTCAGCTCAAGCGAACATTCACAAGACGATCAGCTGCTTTTACCAACACAGCCGTTCTCATAGGGTAGCCCTCTCAAATGATTTTCGACTCTGGAACGATAGGACCTGTGCGCTTCGTCCATCTCGTTTTCCAGATTGCCGAACGTAACCAGCACGTCGTCGAGGATGTAACAGCGGCTGTCGAATGCCAAGACAATGTCATTATGGCTCAGACGATTCCCGTCGATGAATTTGGAGAATGTCGGCTGCACCGTATCGATTACGCCTTGGGCGGACGAAGGGCCGTTGAAAGGATCATTGTACACGTAGAACATCGAGACGGGAACGTCAATATCTGCGAAATCGTATTGCGTCGGCGTTTCCTGGAAGAGGGGCAGCGAAATTAAACCTTGGTCTCCGATTCCTACTCGGAGTACGTTCACCTCGCAGATGGCCACTGTGAGCTGGAACTTACGCTTCCGTATTCTTCCTGATTGGTGAATCCGGGTTGGCGGTAGGTTGAGGACCAATCCAATGCGCTCCAGATGACGTCCCTTTTTTGCTGAACGAAGTCGACACCCGAAATCAAACCGATCCCGCCCAGCTCTTCAGCCTCGTAGATGTCTATCCGGGTCTGCGGGTGGACGTCCCTTAGCGAAGGCGTTCTTTCGAAGATTTTTTCGATTGATTGAGGATTTACGGATTCAACAGATCAGAACCCACCGTGTTCATATGAGGGTCAATGAAACGCAGCGTTTGCACGTCCCGTCTTGTTGCGATGAAAACGATTGCGTGACAGATGACTGGAACTACCGTGCACACCACCGATCTCGCGCGAGCTATGAGGTCCTCGTCAGGATAGGCAAAGAGCTGTCTGCCTAAGATCAATTTGAAGAGGAACTAACACATGAAAGGAAATCGGTGTGAGTGAGGCGGGCTTGCCGGACCACGACTGTTCTCAGGGGAAGATTGTTCTGTCCTGTCGCACTTCATCTCTTCAGTCGGCTCACCGTTGGCAATAAGGGACCGATGACAGGAACAATCAGGGTGGCCGCGAGCACAAGGGGTGGAGTGTCGAAGCCGAACCTCATAACTGGCGCCAAAGCCGCGAAGTGAGAAATCTGCGAGAGAATCGCATTAGCGGTGAACGTCTGGGGTCGGAAACTCGGCCGCGCGAGAGCGCGTCTGTCTTCTCCCGCGATAGGTAAGGAATTCCCTGGAAATTCGTGGTCATCCATATCGGTGATCCAAGGAATCGGTCCCTAGACTAACCTGGCTGTCATAGGTATGATTGGTGCAGAGGAAAGCAGACATGAGCGTTCCGCCCATGGAATGGCCAGCAACGTAAATTTTGGACTGCTCAGTGGTGCTGAGAACTTCTTCGATTACAGAGGGGAAATCGAATTCGGCCATGTACTGCCAACTGTGAAGGAAAATGTGGCATTGAGCATCCCGCGCTGCCCTTGTTAAAACCTTCAACTTCTAAATTCCCCGAAGGTATCCCGCTTCTCGCATAGCTGCATAGAACTGAAGGAGACCCACTCACCCGCCGCGATAGTACTCTTCAGCCGTGGGCTTCCTCCGTCTTCCTTCATCCAATATACGATCGCTGAAGTGGGTCCCTCGCCAATTAGGCAGCCATACATCGTAGCCGTTGTCCGCTAGGATGAACGCAGCGCTCTCGTTTCGCAGGTTCCAGAGGAAATCGAAAGCAGTTCCGAGGAATCCGTGACCGAGGATCACTGGTGTCGAGACTTCTGGGTCGAAAATCTCCATGTTCCGAACCCTCCAAACTTCCAGGATCCACCCGTCGGGCGTGACGACGTCATGTATGCTCAAGTTCATGCCATGAAGCTTGGCATAAGCAGTCTAGACGGGCGAGTTCGGAATCAGACTCCGATGGAAATCCCGACGAATATATGAGAGGTCGCCGAAAGGGGCTGATCATCCGAAAGATTCGGAGCGGATCGTGCTCCATACTCACGAAGTCTTTGTCTTTGACGACAGCCTTCTCTTCCTCGAGGTCGGGAAAAAAAGTATCTCCGCCAGCTCTGGCGGAAATGGCGAACAATAATAGGACGAGTTTCATTCTAGTGGTCAGAGCTTGATATGGACGAACTAGGTGAGGGACCTTGCTTTTATTCAAGAGCTGATCCGTGGGGAAAGAGCGTTCAGATTGGTCGACCTCGAGAATAGGGCGGTTTGTGTGATGCTTCCTGCCGGGAACGACGTTTCTCGCTTATGTCATGCCCTAATTTGAATGCGCGGTCCCATATGTTCCTACTGGATATCCTAGAAATTTTGAAAATAACGAGATCGAGCCATCCGAACTTCCTCTGAAATTAGGAATCATCGCGAATGCTGCAGTATCTCTACGCAGTTTCAGCCTTGCTGCGAATGAAGGTCAAACTTGGCCGCCGATTGTAGCGAATGACGTCAGGATTCAAGGTCAGGGAGGAAACCGAGACAATCTAGCTAAATGCCGCGATTGGAGGAGCCAAAGGAGATTTACACGGGATGTCATCTTTGTTCGACAAGCTCGATTTATGTGGAGACTGCTGCACGCGTCCCGTCTATGATGCGGCTGAAATCCGGCCCAAGGAGAGCCGCATAGCGCTCTCAGCAGGCAATCAAAGTCACTCGGGGTGCATCCAGACCTTCCTCTGTCGCCGCAATCCTTGTAACCGACTGAGTGAAGGGTGAATACATCATGAGGCGAATAAAAAACGCGGGAGGTCTCCATTCATTTGTTCCCCTCTTCCTCTCTTATCCTTGTCCCATATTCGCGCGATACAACAATTTTTCTCTCCCGATGGAGCTCCTCGATCTTCCGTCTGCCTAACTCAGGAGCCGCTGTTTGTGCAGGAGCTTTGGCTTTCCCCCCTTGAAAGCCCGAGGATTCTCAGTGTCTGTGTAGCGAATGAGGGACCCAGAGCCGTAATACCATACGGATGATGCTGTCGCCTCCTTTCCACTTCGGCGGAATTTCGGTTGAGGGGTTCGTCCCCAGCCTGGAACCCGTATCCCACGGAAGTGAAATCCATGTGGAAGATGAGACGTGAAGACGAGCTGAGGATAAGCGTCGGTACCGATCGAGACAGGAAACATTCCTCCGGAGGGGAACGATTCCCGGGTAATATTCGAGACGACAGTCTTCACCGCCTTGGACACCGACATGAAATCATTATAAGTCGAACGATCAATCGTTTAATCACTAGAAACATTTCAATGTCAGATCATGAGGCAAATGTATGAGAATCCAGCTTCATGAGACGTGATCGGTCGATTCTCACTCGGCTCCGGAGGTGACAGAAATCACCGATGCCCCGGAATCGTATGATTCCCATTTTTCGGATCGGGGCAGGTACTTCCCATCGGTCCCCCGAGGGAATCTCCGATTGGGGCGGAATATGCTCACCACGATCTTCTCCGGGTGAAATCTCTCCCTCATTTCAGACCTCAGCAACAAGAGGGAATCGTCGCAATTGGGAGGACCTCGTCCCTCCCAAATTTCAAAGTTCGTCAGATGGCCTTGCTACCTTCCGGATGAATATTACTTGTGTCACCGTCATTACTTTATTTTCGTTACATGAGTGATAGGGATTTCGAGTTTGTATCAGAATGGACTCATTTCCGCGTTGGAATCATCAACATCCTGGAATGATCAATTGCGTTAGCTGTGAGCAAGGTCAGGGAAGTTCGTAGCACTTGTGTTTCGATTGACTGAAACCTCGAGCGCTTCCTGTGGTTAAGTTTTACTCTCCTCGGAGCATTTTCTCGTTCAAGACGATTTCTCTCCGAGAATCTAGACTCGGTGGAGACCTGATCAAACCTCCAATGCCGACATTGTTTACTGCTACCGATCGAAGCACGGATGGAGCAAGGCCTGTCGTGGACTGTTCCCGATCAAGGCAACCGTCCCGTGAACTCATTTGACGTGTTTCGTATGAGCCAAGAATGAACCGATCTTCCAGCGCGAGCTCGGGAGTTGCGCTAACATTCAGAAGAGATGGATTCTGGAGGCTCTCCACGATAGAGGCCGCCGAGTCTCTTCCATTCGCTCTGGTAATGGTATTTATTGATCTTCCCATGCACTATATATGAATATGGACGCTACTCCAGCGGCGATTCCTCAAAAGATCCCTCAGGTTTCTGTCCACTGCACGCCATTATTATTCCAGCAGTCTTCTCGATTCTCTCATGAGATTCTCGTCGTTTCGTTCGGTGACGCTCAGCCTGCTGGCGACCCCTTCAATGTCGTAGTACATATACATATGTATGTATAGGGTTGCGTTCCGCCATGGTGTGAGGGCAGGTCTCGTCATCGACGCTACGTTTGACACAAGGTGGGCCGATCCATTGGCTTTCCGCTACTTGCGATCTCGTCGGTAGAATTACTGCCCGAACAGTGGACAGGTAACTCTATATCTCTTGATTTTCTCGGCCCCTCACCTGAGTCTTCATGGATGAGTATTGAGCGTTGTACCATCAGTAATAGAGACGCACCAATCTTTGGAGAGACTTAGGCCCGATGATTTGCTCCATCATTCCTGAAGGCATCTCAGCTTTTTGTGGTGGACGTCAAATTCAGGATCAGATTTGACGGATATTATGTTATCGGCGATATTAAGTTGGCCGATTCCAATACGATGATAGATGTGGCAGAGGGAGTGTACGGGAACGATGACAGAATCGAATCCGAGGAATGATAGTTCGAAGCCATGGACGGTCTTTGATCTCGCTATCCTTAAAATCTGTTTGATATCTCCGGTACTAGCTCTGTATCAGCATCACCAGCTGCTATAATCGTTCATCGTACGGTGGATATCCGGAGAAATCTTGTTTGGGAAGTTTCTCTGCATCTTCAGTGATTTACGGTTAATATAATGAGTGAGCAGTTCTTTATCGTTACAGTAATTCGGTCTCAGCTGATACGAACTCTCGGATCCGTTCCCCGAAATCATACGTGGACGGGGGAACGAAGGAAATATAATCGTCTCAGGCTCGGGGAGACCCGCTCGAAATTCGGTATCCTCCGCTGTCAAGGTGAGACGAGACACGGGAATGACGGGTTGGAAGCGGGGCGTCCAACGAGTTTTATCGATTTAGGGACCCGAATACCATTCGAAGCATATTGCGGTCTCGACCCTGCACAAAAGCATAGACCTAAATAACAGATGATACCATTGGGCAGGTGTCCTCCGAATATCGTTAGAGGCGCGCGAGTACGATGTTATACCGGGGGAGCGGCTTGAATCACCGGTCTCCGTTCGACAAGCTACGGAAACGGGGGGATGATTCTCATTCCGAGGGTGATCGGGATATCTGAACGCGAAACTCGAGACCTACACTGCTTGGGCTTGACCGATCTGCGCCATCCTCCGAAACACCTTACGGCGCCAAGGCTCAAGAAATACTTTCTCCATCGCTCATCCTAATGAATATGTTATCGAATGTTTCTTTCCCGAATCTAATTGCTCAATGCTTGTTCATGCCTGTGATCGTCATAAATCAATGAATGAAATGATGTATCCAGGGATATCCATAGATTGGGATTCAATGATCAATCGGCGGATTTTCACTATTTTATTCCTTTATCATGATGAACAGTTGATTTCCTTGAGGACTTCCAGCACGCCGACTCCTTCTTCATGTTCGAAAATTATTCAAAACCAATCCCGGCGGTCGGCGGTGTCGAGTCGGCTCCGGTGCTCTTCTTGCTCCCTGACAATCTCACGCTCATCAATCAGAGTCGATCTACAAGCTTCACATTTCCAATTGAATAACCAGGTATCTCCAGGAATTAGAACTCTATACGATCCTTTATCCTCCGGATGATACCGCCTGCAGGAGAGCTCTTCCGGACCCGCCATAGTTGCGAATTTCAGTTCCGCTCCGTTTGCCCGGGCAGAGTCGATATCGCATGCGTTGTTCCTGATGCCGCCGACGCGTAGTTCGGGAATCTCCTGAAGCGACCCAGGCGCGGGGTCTGTATTCCGATATCCCTCGTGAGCCCTCGAGAAATTTTGTTCTGCGACATTGTTCTCCTCACGAAAGCCTCTCGGCTCCACGGCTCTTGTCGGAAGTCTCTCAAGCCCACCGCACGACTTCTTTTGCTCATCTTCGTCCAAGTCCAGGTATCTCCCAGGTCTTGTAGAACTCCTCGCGCTCCGTCTGACGGGCCTATCGGAATCGCGAACGGTCTCCATTGCTTAAGTGGTCTCGTGGTCTCGAACGAAGTTCAACTTCGAGGCGACGCTCTCATCATCGTCGCGGCCTCTTATATTAGCATTGAAGGAGGTATCACCCCTGAGTAGCACTATCTTAATCGAAGTTATCGATCGCTGTACCTCCGCCTCTATCGAGTCTGGTAGATATTCGAGCAGCGTCCTTGGTATTTCTGAGCAGCATTCCACTTCCTCGTCGGAGACCTCTGTCCCCGCGTTATCAGCGGCCATTCTCCAGTATTTTCGTGCTTCGCTCCAAGTCGCAGAGGTTCGCAATCGTGACGCATTCCTCCCTTAGCCGATTCGATATCAGTTTTAATCCTCCCATATAGTTGACGATGGGGAAGGGTGGGAAGGCGACGAGCCGGAACTTGTGGTCCAGCGACCCCGATTCCCCTGTCATAGAATCGAGGGGGTAGTGTCGGGAACGGGGAGTATATTCCTTCTCTGGGAGCTTCAATTGGCTCATCTGTGCTCCCCGGTGGGAAAATTAGTCGGAGTGCTCTGCGTTCAAGGCACAGGTACTAGGTACACCCAGAGGCTTGAGGCTCCTATAGAGGCTCCTAGAGATTCCGGGAGCAAGAATCTCAGGTAAGGAGATGCGGACAGCAGTCAGCCAGAACTCTTCGTTTCGAGCTGCGGAAGTCGACTCCAAGTTCCAAAAAATTTATTTCTCAGTAATCTGATCCTCTTGAAGTTCCAAAACATTTATTTCACAGGATCTCTCCTTCTTCCGGAGCATGCCCTTATCGGAGCGCCTTCGTAGAGCTGATTTCTGGGCTCTGCCCGGAATCGAGGAGCTCTCGGATGTCTATAGAGCAGGCTCTCAAAGTAGTCATCGATGATTCTTCTGGAAGAATCGGTTTTCGAATGAGAATTTCGGTCGCGGAAGTACCTACCTGAATTATTGGTTGCAAAAGCCCCCTCATCAAAAGGGTGGAAGCACCCCACCGTAGCCAAGCTCAAAACAGACAGCTCAACTGACCTGGATGCTGGCTGAGAGCTTTTGGCACAAAGCATGAAAAACTGAGAAACATTCCTCCACATCAAAAGTCTTCGGGTCCTCACAGAACCAGGCCGCGAGTTTCGCGGTGAGATCTTGCGCGGCAGTCAGACTCTCGCTGAAAGTTTCCAGTTTCCTCTCGGCGCTCTATCGGGAGACAAAGAAACTTATTGTCCCACAACCTCTCTGATATGTGGGATACCAAGCCGAAGCCTAGCAAATACTCCTCAATTTACGGAGCAGGAGGGCTGGCAGCACCATTCGACGCGCAAGATCGAACAATCGCTTGTCAGATACCTCTACGAAATCCGACATGTGAATCCGGAGACCAGGAGCGTTTTTTTCAAACGCGTTTTTCACTCGACGAAGTCTCGCTCTGAAGCTCGCGATGTCCTCCCTCACGTCGTCGAGAGAAACCCGTCTCGCAGCATCGATCTGAGATAATTCCCGATGGAAGAGCAATAAACCCGCTCGGTCATGCTCCGCAAGACCCCGCACAACAAAGTCCAATAGAGTGAAATCCGCTTGATTGGACTTGCATTCGGCAATCGTCGAGAGGTCCTTCATCCGGAATCCCGGTGCGTTCCCCGCGTAACTGCCCTAGGAAGAGATCATCAGTCGATACTGAGGCTCGATGGCGAGGACTCGAGTCATGCTACAAATTACGATTTTCGACATTTCTCGGACGAGAGTTTTCATCACGAACGCTGTTCAGGAAATTCCCTGCGACTAGACATCGCTTCATGAAGTCTGCCAGGTAGGAGGACTCCATCAACCACTTCGCACTCATTGTGAAAGAATCCAATTTCTTTCGCAGGCTTTCGGTGAAGGGGTCGAATGATTCGTGTAGGGTTAGAGCTTCCAAGTGGATTCTGGAATCCTGGAAGCGCGAGATATCCAAACAGAATCGTTCTTCGGGCGAAAGAGCTTCCTCAGCGCCCGTAAAACCTTTCAATCTTTGGACCTGGAGTCATGATCGGATACATACGTCTCTCTATAATCCAAAATTCATGCAACGGGCGGGAGAGAAACTACTCTCAAGATTTACGAAAGCGTACCTCTTCATCTGTGGGCATAATATCCTCCAAAGTTCTAAGGTCCAACTCATCGAACTTCCTCGCCACTTTTCCCTGGAATCGGACATGCCGCGCTCAGATCGATAACCGAACCTACGTGATTAGGATCCCCACGTCAGCTAATCATATTGCCGATTCCCGCTCCCTGAGCGATAGAAGCTCTTGCGGTCCCACATACTTTCGAGCCCTCGACTAATTTCCTCGGGACCTTGAACTCCCTCAAATGCTCCAGTAGAACTGTGGAATTTATTTTCAAACTCCGGAGGCCGACACCGATCTGCATCGCTCTCGATTTATCCAATAGCGAGACCTTCAAGAGATAAGGGGAGCCTCGACTGAACATTTGAAAACGCCATGAACATCGGACCGAATGAACGGAAGTCCGATACAGAGCGTGGGACGACGCACCTTTGGACTTTGGTCCTTGCGAGCATCCACGAGCTCCTGCTTGCGGAGGATTTTCCGCGGGGCGAACAGCTGTTCGAGCCCCTGCAGGTCCAAGTGAGCGAATTCGTCTTGAAGATTTGGATTGTCGAGGATTTCCTTCCAAATGTTCGAGTCACCTGGATTCGGGAAGCAATAAACCAAAGGGAAATCGTCTCAGTCCTGATTGCGAGATGAGAATCTATTCAAGTTTCGACAGGCAGGGACGGAGCGAGGGAAGACGAAGCGCAGGTGAAGCTCCAGAGGCGTACCGCTTGTCCAGACTACGTTCTCGGGGATCTTGCTCCAATTGACGGTTCGGAGTCGAGACATGGGCTTGGGAAGCAGCTCAAAGCAGCTCGAGGTCCGCGTCATTCTCGGAGCGGGTTGAATGCTCGGCGGCGGCGGTGGGGGCGGGGGTGCGGACACCGGAGGACCTGAGGGTACCTTGCAAGGGGGAGCTCTGTTCTGAGGCCTGATCTCGACAGCAGCACTCATTGGTTCGCACACCGATTCGCCAGAAGACCCCGCTGCGCGGACCACTTCGGTGACTTTTGGCGCTCGCAACAGATGTTCCGGAATCGTGATCCCAGCCTCAGCCAGGGGGAAGAGGAAAGAAGCTTCCAACTTCCTCGGTTTGCACTCTTCGTCCGTCGTGATCAAGTCTCGGAGGATGTTCCCGCCATCTCTGAGGGATTTCGAAGCGCTCGACGGGCGGGAAATCGGATCGGACCGTTTCCTTTGTGATCGCGGTGTGCTGCTCTGCCAGCGCATGGACCTCTGCATGAAACGGATAAGCGATGAGAATGTCGAGTCGGTCCCTCTCGATCGCAATGAGTCTTCCGCAGATGCCGCTCTCCACGTCATTCTATTCGAGGTATTCGTGACCTTCGTTTTCACGGCTCCACAGCGAAGCTTTCTCGGAGTTTTCCGGAACGAAAATTTCCCGGACGACGTCGCCGCGTCGCTGTCTCCCGATATATCAGCCTGAAGCGGTGGGTGAATGAGGAAATGCTCCCACGAGTTTTCGCGGTGACAGGATCCGCTGCATAGCCGCGGATGGTGACGAAATGCTGGCGCCGAATTTTCCGGATCATGACTCAATTATGTTGAGAGGCTTCGTTCGATGGTCGAATCTGATTGTAGGGTCGGGAGTCGGGATTGAGTGAAACTGGTTTCCAAATTGTCTGATACAGGGGGGTAAGCACGTGAGGGAGTTTGCTCGTGAAAATCGAAGATGGTCTCGATGGTCTGGCCAGAGGATGTACTTCGTATCTCTGATAATTTTCGGGATCTCCGAGACCGGTTCCGGACACCAAGACGGAGGATTTCTGAGAGTACGGCGGAAAATGATCGCCAGGGAAAAGCAATATGACTTTGGTGTAGCTAGGAACCTCTCTCGGAATAGATGTGGGAAGCAAAAGCCTTAGAATCGCCGTTCCCCATTCCTTCTTCACGATCAGGTTCCCCGTCGAGGAGGACGGGAGCGGATGTTTCTCCGCATTTGAGAACCTACGCACAGCCGGTGATTCTTTTTCCGATGCTAGCCCCCATAGTCGCGTTCGCTTCAGAACCCTTCTGGAATCAATACCCCGTGGTGTTCAGATCGGAGCCCTCTTCGTTTCCCCATGTCTCAATTCAGAGAATTCCTCGGAGAAACGCTATGGAGAAATCAAACGTAGCGAACCAGATTACGGAACGTACTGTGCTAGTGCTATTCGTCGGTGTCCGTTTCCATCGCTCTCGTTGCCGCGCCGCCGGAGATAATGAGCCGCTGGAATCTCGAAGTGCGCATTGCTTGGGTCACAGGATCGCGACGAGGGATTCCTCCGGGTTGAGATTTCGGTAATGTTCTTCTTTCAGTCATCGTAGTCTCTCACGATCTCTGCTCCCTCTCATTCGTTCGCGCAGACCTAGCTGCGGCAGTCGCAGTTGCTGCTGCTGCCCACGACAACTGTGTGACCACGACGACCGAGAGCGCGCCCTCCTCTGCTGCTTCACAGCAAGAGAGCAGCCGGCCGGCCGGTCGTCAAGTCAGTCAGTCAATCAATCTAGAGTACAACTACCAGAGCACTTCGGGCGAGCGCGTGTTCTTCTCGACTGGGCAGAGCTTCCCCGCGGTCGTCGTCGCCGTTCCTGTCGCGGCTCTATCGGAAACCTCGTGATCGAGTTCCGGGCTCGTCATGTGGCTAAAACTTGTCTTTGTTTGTTTGTGGGGAATTCACTTCTCCTCAGAGGATCCACTCTATCCCTCGGAGGTGGGTGCCGATTTCGATTTTTTCCAGAAAGTCTCATATTCCGCTTTTCGGACTGGTTCGGAAGATCCTCGCGGAGATCAGTTCTCTCGTCCAAGAAAGAGATCACTTTTGTGCACCGGCTCGGAAGGATCTTCGGCCGTCGGGTTTGCCTCTCGCTGTTTCGAACTATCGGACAGTCTGGAGTTGTAGAATTGGTGGAGCTAGTGGAAAATTCCCTTCAGCGCGGAGCGTGAGCTCATTGAAAAGAGAGTCGGCCTCGAGTTCTCTCTGGCTCGAGCTGATATCTATCGAGTTGACGACAACATCGGTTAGTTTCCTCCGCGAAGCTGTTTGTTTCCACTTGGCTGTTCTACATAGTGTTGACGTCTGTCCTTCGGTGTTGTCAGCTCGATTTCGCTCGCTCGGAAAATAACACGTAGCTCAATCAACATATTTCGGGGTCGCACTGTAGTCTACGCGGAGTGCGATCACATTCGAAACTAATCTTCTCCCGAGCAGGAGTCCTTCATTTTTCGTAATAACTGCTGCCTTGAATCGTCCCATCAGCAGCGAGACTCTGCTCCATACGGAGATGCTCCAGCTAGGCAATCTCTTTGTTCCACGGCTTTCCCTTCGTTGCATAATCACTCAAGATATCAACGGGTCCTCGAATTTCTCTCGAACCTTTCAATCACGGCGAGCGTCAAGTCTCAGGGACCATATGTAAACTGAACGAGTATACAAGTTTCGCAATGGAGAATACATACAGCGGGAGAGGAATCGGGTCCGTATCAAGGGACCGTTCCCACGCACGGAAAAACGAGGGGCAAACGAAGCAAAGACGAGCGGGGAATTAACCGTCCCTCGCAAACGAATATTTGCGAGCGGGGAGAAATTAAGTCGGATATCAGCCCTTGAGTCTAAAACTCACGAGCCCACAGAAATCGGGACATAATCAAGAGCTCGCGAGGAAATCCTCGAGTCAGAGAGCGCAGACCCTGTGACGTCAGATCGTCTGGCCCTAGAGAGTCGCCGGACAGTGATGAGAATTCTGTCCGAGATGCTGCAGGATACTTGCAAACGCTCTGATTGACACGCAGATACGCTGTCGCTTCGACCCGCGTTGCAACTGCGTGAGACCATGCAGCTTGTGTCCGAAATATGTAACCGGAACGACGTGACCCGGAAATGCCTAACGAACGTGGTCATCACGCATGCTACTACTAGCTTTCCGATCAAGATTCACTCAGGTCCCGAGGGAGTGAAACCCGGCCTCAAAGGGATGAATCAGTCTAATCGTGACGACGTTTTTCGTCACCCCTTCGGGATGGAGAACTCGCCCGTCGTGAATTACCACATATTGTGTGTTCCATCGTTTCTGTCGGAATCGGTGGATGGATGCTCAAGGTCGAATATTGCGAGCTAACGAGGGACATGTTCTTCAACAGAGTGACCCGAACTTCATGAAGATGTTCGAGCGGAAGTACGCAAATCTCGTCCAGATCGATCAGAACAGATGTCTCCAGAAACTGACGTGCATACTCGCTAAAAACGAGTCCTCGTTCGAGGATCCGGTGATCGCACACATCGTGCGAGACTTCGAATCAATCAAAACGATTCATAGCAACTCCCCTGCGTTCCTCTTCCTCGCTGCCTACCAGACCGGGCTCAGCAAGCAGAAGTGTGAAAAGGTGAATAAGACGAGGACACGGTGTTTCGCTTCAAAGTTCTTGGATACATCCGGTCGGTTAGTGATAGAACAACTTCCCTTGACTAATTATAGTGTGTAATACTTTCTTAGGCGTATCCCGAATGTCCAATCGGGTTCGTGGCGGATGAGCGTTATTTGGACGATGAAGAAGAAGACGTGGCCGGAGCCGTGGAAACGGACACCACAACTACTACTGCAAGCTCGAAACAGCCCGATGACATATTGTGATAAAACCTGTAACTGAGACGATTGCTATCAACAAGAAACCATGCTATATTGATATTGTATCTTCCAAGCTCCAGTGAGCTGGATGCCTGTATCTGCTAATCGTAAGGTTGACACTGGCAGCTCCTGATTCTTCTTATGATTATTATTAATTCTCACGGGCGAATTAAAGGTTCACGAATCAGGCGCTCGAGTTCACCAGACCGCCAGTTCGCACTCGCCGTCCCACGTGACCATCCGCGATCTTCCAATGCTATCGATGACTTCAGTCAGACCCGAGAGGGAAGTTCAATACGAGCTTGGATGATATCAACAACGTTCATTTTTTTCTCCTCATAAGATATATCACAGTTTTGTGGATATCGAAATCCGGAAGCCGTTCGAGCGTATTGTCATAAAATTGCACGCTACAGAGGCAAGAATCGAATACCGAATATATTATATACACAGTGCTTTGGTGCGTAGCGTTTTCACTTGCTTCTCACGGATTCTCACTTCCGATTCGAACGGACCAGATCTCGTTCTAATCAGTCTCCTCCGAGAAGACCTTTTTTGCGAAGCTTCTCCTTAAGTCCACCCTTGGTCTTCACAATGTCCTTACGCTTGGCTTTTTTTAGTTCTTGCACCTGCGGAGAAAATTGAATGAGCTTCTCGAGCTCGAGTAAATAAATTTACGATTGCATGTCGATATCTCGTTCGTCGGTCGATCTCTCCGAATGGAATGACACCTTGCCCATCACCCCGAAAGAGCGCTTACCTTGCTGGATGCGGCTTCTAGTTTGACCTTGACTCTGCGCTGCACTTCTTTCTGCCATATGTTCTTGAAGTCAGTGCTGAAGGGCGTCCAAGGACCGAAGAACTCCATCGTCCAATCACTCTCTTTATTACTTTTTGCCTCAAAACAGTAGTACTTCATGACTTTTCCGAAAACTTTGCGACATTCGTCGTAGTTGTCGCTTTGTTCACTGTGCTCAGCGAAAGCTTTCGTCAGGAACGATTCCATTCTCCCCTTGAACGGTTCGACGTTCTCAGACGAGCTCTCCAGAACTTTGTTGACTTTCCGCTCGATATTAATGATTTCTCGATGCAGAGAAGCTAGATCCTCCTTGAGCGTGTCGAAATTTATCTCTGAAGCTCGGATGAAGTCTGCTGGCTCCGGTAGAGGGAACTTGGCCGAGGCGATGTCTTCCGATTGGTGTTTATCGACGTACACTCGCACGATATAGTGCAACAAGGTCATCGAGCTGTCCTTGCTGCGCACATCTTTGAGCTTGGCCAGGATCTCTATTCCGAAACCGTCAGCTTGTCCTCGGTCGCGATTGCCTCCATTCATGTAGTTGCCGAGCGCCAAGATGATCGCAAATACGTTAGTTACGTGCTGTGAAGTCAGCAGAGTCTGGCAGATGATTTTCAAATTGTTCAAGCGGTTCTCGACAGAAGCCAGATTTTCGGGGAAATTGCTCTCAAACGTAATGCAGGCGACACGCTCCGCAAAAAATGGGATTTTGGAAATCCCCCAAAGGAACATTTCACTTCTCCCGAGTGGACAAGTCGGCTTCGATTCGAGGTGACGCGAGATCAGATCTAGTTCCTCGGGGGTTCCTCTAAGTTCGAAGATTGAGGTCAGAACGTCCAGGGGCACTATCGAAGTGTCCACGTCGTACAGCGCTTGCTCGACGTCTGACACCTCGGTCTTCTTCGACGAGATGAGAATTCCCACATTTTGAGAGCGTTTGCCGTCAAGCAGACTCACTAGCTGTTTACTTTTCTTCTCCGACTTCTCTTTCTGTTGTCCAGATCTTTCTAATTTCTTCACCGGTGCTTGTCTGCCGAAGAGCTCTGTGAACTCATCCCAAGATTGCGGTTCGTCCTCGTCGAGTTTCTCCCACAGACAGGCTTTTTCCTCGGTGGGGGTATCCCCCCCGTCTTCGTTCGCCGGGATTGGTGATGCAACAGGTGGTTGACAAACCTGAATGCGCTTCCAAAATAGAGGTTTCATCGGCGCTTTCGGTTGTTTCAGCTGTTTCCTGACGTTCTGGTATGCCTGACTCCAACCCCCGGCGGGGGGCAAGGGAGCATCGGTGGCGGTGGTGGTGGAACGGATCCGGGAACCGGTGATGTCGAGGACAGCATCCCCGGCATCGGTGGCGGAGGTGGAGGTGCACCGGGCATCGGAGGCGGAGGAGGTGCGGGGATTCCCCCAGGCATCGGCGGTGGAGGGGGAGGAGGAGGAATGCAGTTGGCTCCTGGCATCGGGGGCGGCGGGGGTGGAGGAGGAGGGCAGATGGGATCACTCCCCGGCATTGGAGGCGGAGGAGGAGGGGGCGGTGGCACTGAGCTCGAGAGAGCATCACCCGGCATGGGAGGCGGAGGAGGAGGGGGCGGTGGAGGGGGGATCGGATTCCCCACCGGATGATCAGATGCAGGAGGTGGGGGCGGCTCTGCAAGAACCGCATCGGACGAATTTTCCGAAGGAGTGAGAGGAGCGTCAGTTTGCGTCGAAGTACACGTGACATGAGGCACATGTTGGCACGATTGCTCAACCGCTGTGATCTGCTCCCGTGACTCGAGAGGACAGACCTCTGTTTGGCAAGCTTGAGAAACTTTCTCGTATGAGCGCACTCGATCCCCAACGGACTCTGAGCCCACGCACTGTACTTCGGCATCGACTCGTTCTTTGGCATGCGATACGTCCTCGCTGATTTTCGGTAAGACTATGCTTTCTACAGAAGCTCTCTTGTTCTGTACAGGTGCGGTGCTCTTACTGAACTCGTAGATTTGGCTCAGCCTGAAAGCTTCGGATTCCCCATCGCAGCATATCATCACACCGGCATCGATCAGTTTGCTGCAGAACTTCATGATCAATGCCCTCAATTCAGCTTTTTGGCTCTCTCCGCAGCCGACCAGAAGCCAATTGACGAGCATATGACCCTCGAATTTTTCGCCGAGCGAGAGCGGACTCGCGTCCGGGGTCCGAGGCGTTTTTGGCGGCGTTCTCAAACTGTCGACTGAACTCCGGTCCAGAGTGATTGAGGCGACTTTGCGTAACACATTACCCTGTAACAGGACTTCTAGTCAGTGAGCGAAACTTCGACGGGACTGCGTATTTGGACACATTTCTGGCCTGCGGTAACCAACCTTCTGAATGAGATTGCTAGCCGGCAGTGATACAGCCTGGTCGTTCATAATGAATGGAGCAGCCATATTTCACAGAAACTGGGAGTCGTTCGCGTTCAATAGGAATATAACTTACAGTCGTCGGTGTTTTGTCCAAACGTGGCGTGTCCTCGGTATCGGTGGAGACTTTTGGCAGAACGGTAGGTTTATGGGCCGCGATGCTGAATGGCGACGAGCCCGATATGCTGAGCGTCGAGGGCCGTCTCTTCGGACTTGCCGACGGACTCGGGGTGCCACGGGGAGTACGGCGATCCGATGCATTTTCGATGGCAGGAACCTCGTCGGGGGTTTTTGTTATGTGCGACAAAGCCTCATGGTATTCTGACGTTGGATCCGACGGCGACGGACTCGGCAAGTCACACTTCGGTGGAGAGCAGGAGGCTTTTCTGCCTGCAAGCACAAGATCGAAACAATGAAAAAAGCTACGTGCGGACAGGCAAGATGGAAGATGGGATTTCCCGAGCTCCCGAGGGAATTTCCCTGCCGCAGAACGAGTGCTAAATAATCTTCTCGTCCGAAAATTCCGTCGAAAGAACGTCGCTTGCTACGAGCTTCTTGGGGTTTGGAGTCTGAGAACACGGAATGGGTGTGGGTATTGACTCGATATTCACTTCGCGCGAATTGAGCGCACTAATCGTTCAGGGGTTTTTCATGCATGCGGACACTGTTTCCAGGGAAAAATAGCAACTTGTCTGATTCGAACAAAGCACACAAACAGGACGTGATGTTGAGTTCCATAACACAGAAGAAGAACACGGGACGGAATGAAGTTTCGCCAGAGGTAAAAAGATGAGTGACTGGCGTTCGACGGTCGCTGCTTGCTTTGCTGAATCGGATCGCTTGTCGGTCGGTCGGTCGCTCGCCCGGTCGCTGGGTCTGATTCAATGAGCAAACGACTTCACGGCGGTCGAGCTCATGTTATTCTGTTGCACGAGCCGCAAAGCTTCATCGTTATTGTTGTGGACGGCAATGACAGCAGTAACAGAAAGCGACCAGAAGAGCGTTCTCTCTCAATCAGTCAGTCGGTCTGTCACTGTAGGAGCACTCACCGAGGTCCGTCACAGTTGCGTTCACCTTACGGGATTGGGTTGGTGTGGTCTTCGGTTTGCCTTTGCTGCCGAACTTGAACTTCGTCTGACGTGACGGAGTCTGAGGAGTCGAAGGCACAGCCGTCACGCCCTTCACTACGGAGCCGCGGGCTGCCCGCGGAGTTCCCACGGCGGCCTCCGATGAGTTCTTGTTCCCCATTCTGCTTGTCACATCGCTGTTGTTGGCACTGGCGTGACTGGTGAGTCGTCCGCCTACGCTTTCGGCCCCTTTCGGGAGCGCAAGCACGGACAACCGCGAAAATCGACCGAGGCTCTCGAGTCTCGGAGAGTTCGAATTCGGTTTGGCAAGAGACTCCCCGATGCTCCGAGATCTCCATAGCAACTGACCCCCTGTTCCGGGGGTCCCTTGACCCCCTCCTCCTCCGGAACAAGCATCCGCGACTCGCGAATTCCGCATTGAGCCTGAATGGCGCGGGAAACTCTCTCTAGTCACCAGCGTTTCATTCGCCGCTTCAGCCAGTTGATCTTCTGCATCAGCGAACGTCACGGTGTTTACGGGACAAACAGAAGAACACCTCACGGACCTCACGCTAATACCTTCTCAACTCACCCAGGGGTCGGATTAGACACTCTTGGTCCTGCTTCAAGCGCCGGTAACCTGAGAAAAACTCCCATAAGTGACCTGCCATCCATGTGCGAAGCGATTCGAGTGCGCGCTCTCGAATGAAACATATGACTGTAGGGGTTTCGAAACTCGGTCGCGTCAGGGCGGTAATTTTCGAATCGGGAACAAACGACCGGCGGCCGACGGCGAGGCGGAGCGCCCACCCCGAGAAGACATATTTCCGGAACAAGGAGTGGCTTCGCTTGAGTTCATCTATTTGGTGGACGTCGATACGCCACGATTAGCGAGGATCGGGGACATCAATGAGTGACCTCTTCCTCGTTCAGGGAAGGAGCGAACAGTCGAGAGTGGCCGGTCAGCTGTTTTTCTCTGAGGGCGAGTTGTTGGGACGCGCTACATGACTCACGATTGACAATTACGCGATAAGAGTGAAGGCTGATTTTCCCGCCATCGCGGAAACTCGGGAGTATCTGAGTCGTTTGGGGCACGACTTTCCCCCGAAGCTCCGCTGCTGTTCTCCCGAGGACAGTCATCTCACTGGAAGACCTCTTGGAAAGAGGGACGATCCTTCGATGGGAAATCCACGATGAGGAAACTAAATCTTTCGCTAATCATTCCGTTCCCTCGGGGAACATCTCCGGGAACTTCATCTCCAGCTTGGTTTTGCTTCAGCCACCGCCCGACGGACCCACCGAGCTCGGCCGTGATCTCGGCGAGCAAGATGGATCCCCGCGAGCTTCCCGAAATGTTCGCTCCACTTTCGGAACTGGATGGCGAATAAATGGATATAGGATTAATTTCCCATGTTAACAAAAAACGCGTCAGTTCACGGGATGAGTCTGACAGTGTGAATCCGGAAGTTTCTCGGTGTTTCCTCGGGTTCGTCACAGTGGTGGCGCTTCTGATCCCGAGTTTCACTCTCCTGCGCGAACGTTCGAGAACCTCAAGTGAGGAGCTTTAAAAGGCTGGCTGATCGTGTACTTGTGTAACACAAGTTGTCTGTGTGCTTACATCGAAGCAAGCGCTAACTGTGAACCTCGTTCGTTAGGCTTCGTGTGGTTGCGACTAACGGAAACGCCATGTCATCTCAGAATAACTCGCACTGCTGTCAACGCGCTCACCAAGTCTCCCCATGGACTGGAGCTGGAGGCGAAATGGGGAGTTCCCTGCCGCTGATGGACTGGTTCGACAACCAGATGGCACGGATTCAAGACGATCTCGCTGTGAATCGCTTCTTTGACGTCCCTCATATTGGACGCATCGCCTTCGACCCGCATAGGAGATCGCGCCTCTTCGACGCTCTCTTCTCGGACGATGAGCCGGCGAACATGGAACTGACTTTCCACGAGAACCCCAACAAGAATCAAGTCGAATGCCAACTCAGCACCGGGTGTGGAGACTTCTTCAGGCCGGAAGACATCCAAGTGAACGTGAAGGATCGCCGTGTGGAGTTCACTGCGCGCCGGGAGCAGAAATCCGACGACGGCCACAACTATTCGGTACGCGAAGTTCGGCGCGTGTTCCACGTCCCCAAGAATGCGGACATCGAGAAACTCCACGCCGAAATGCGTCCGAACGGCAAGGTCATGCTGACGGCACCTCTGTTGAACCCGAAACCCATCGAAAAGAAATCCGACAAGCCAGTACCAATTAAGATCAATCGCAACTGAGTTGTGGGATCATTCCGCGGATTCTCTCCGATGTAAGATCTCGTTAAACATTTTACTTAAGTAATAAAGTGAAGCCAGTGAAGCTCCTCAGATAGCTCTCCTTCTTTAGATTCAGAATCGGGTCGGGTTTACTTATCGACTTACGAGATTGTTCCCCAAGTTTCCAATGCTCTTCACGGGAGCTGCCACCGCGGCGGTGGCATAGCGATGGGTTTCCCGACGGGGGAGTCTGATTTTCCCCCGAGCGCCTAGGTGGATTTCCGCACATTGAAATGCGATTCGGAGCGGGAGCTCTCGCTCGTAGAGAATTCCACGACAGTAATTGCTCTCCTTGATACTCGGCGGGCGGACTTCTGTCCGCTACCCTCGGAAAGATCGCGAAGGTTCCACACCGAGGCGCCAAACAGCTCCTCCCTCTTTATTCGGTAATTCTCTCGCTAGAGGTGAATCCCTTATGATGCCTCCACTTGCAATGCGTTGCGCCTACAGAGTGAATTGCCATCCAACAAGGACACTCTTCTTTACTATCAGCTTCTGTTTCGAAGCTCCAATTGGCTTGATGGCGGCGACGCGATTCTCTCTGAGTCTCCCGGAAGTGCCGAAACGGTTGGCAATACGACGAGCTCGTACTACTAACTTCGAAGTCGAATCGATGCTCTCGCTTTTCCCGATTGAGCTGTGATCTTGAAGAATGTTCTCGAAAATTCGCGATGATCCAAGAGCTGACTCGTACCTTCCCAACCGGTACATGGCTCGCTGTTCGCCCACTGAGCATTCTCATGCTGCGGATGCAGTCGCTGAACTTATTCATTTATTCTCGGGAATCCAAAGCAAGATCGATAGTGAAATCACCCGGGCTACAGAGTATAAGGTACCCGATCCCACTCTCGTCAGGGTTCGTCGAGAGCATTTCGTTCTCGAGTCCCTCGAGCGAATGACGAGAATCGAGATCGAATCCAATGATAATAATTGAATCAATCCAATGAACTGAACACCGCAAACTGAACATCCGGCCCGAGCTATGACAATATTTTGTCGATGTCGTGCTCCGCCCGAGTGATTTCTTCCAAGTCATTCGAGCAACGAATCGGCGTTGGTGCGACCTCACGCTTCCATGTTTGAGCCTTCCTGGCTTCATGCGGAACATGAAGTTGTCCGTACGCTGGTCGATCAACGTGTCATTCCCTAACCGCTTCACGAACGAATAAAAATGAGCATACGGAGACTGAGCATACGTTCTAACATTCCGGCAGGAGGGGAAGTGTCAGGGTCTAGGCTCCGAATGTCCTCTAATCCCGCTGGTTGACATGGCTCTCAATCCTCATACATACCCGCTTGGCATCTGTCTCCTCGCTTCGACTGGCTTACGCTTGAGCTTGCGGAGTGGCTTTGCACAACAGTCATAATCGACAACTCGAGCGTTGAAACCATGAACTGATCCCGAGCCCATCATATCATACAATAATCATTGTGTCGTCACACCTTGTCTCTCCGGGGAAATGCGGTCCGATACCAGAGGCGGCAGGAAGACAATCTTTCGTACATAGAACGTTGTTAGAGAGCGTTGGAGGGAGCAATCGGATCTTTTTGCATCTAAACAGACTGAGTACTTCGATGAGGATCGTTCTCATTGAGTGTGCCTCCATCAAAAGGATCGTGAAGGCAAATCTCGACCGCGACCCGTGTAATGCCTCCGGGATCGGAGACTTCTCGGTGGATATTTCTATCCTTACCGACGAGAGCTTTGCCTCAGATCCGAGGAGGAATATCAGGAATCGCATCGGTTGCGCTCCTGGAGTACACGGCGCCCGGAAGGGTGCTCCTACATCATACAGGAGAGTTCGAAATACCATAGCAGAGCTAAACAATGATCTCGAATCGTATTCCTCAGCATCCCTTTGAGCAGCGCAACAATGGTCTCGAATCTTTTCCCCTAGCGGGGAGGGCTCGAAATTTTCTGCGGTAATCCACGGCGGGATTCTCGGCATTTCAGGACATTCGGTGAGCCTCGGAGGAGATTTGCCAGGAGTCTCCGGAGAAATGGGCGGGAGAATCACGTTCTGCAAAGATTCTACACCTCCGCTCAAGGGTCTTCTTGCTATTGACGATCGCGGGCTTCCAAGCGTGGTCTCAACGGCCTGAGCAAAGACGAATTATACGGAGTTCAGGAATATATTCGAGAGAGGAAAATCGGAAGACGGAAACCTTATGTTCGTATGATCTTTATTGAGAAATTACCAAATCCAGATATGAATCTCTCATGGATGAGAGGCTGTCGACGGAGCCCTCTTCGGTTTACTGTCGCTGCTTTCCACAGGATCGAGACGCCTGGACATGTCACGAGTCTGGCCCTCGGGTTTTACTTCCAACCCCATTGAGCCGAGTTCATTGGAATTTCCCTTCGAGTGTTTTGTCGACGATAACTCGTCGACCACTTTCTTGTGACACTCGCTGCAGTATGTCGGCATACATGTCCAGCCGTGCCGTCATCTGCGAAGATCATTTGTTCGTTGTAACCCGTCACATGAGCTCTGGCATCATTCGTTCGTTACTGCTCGTCACATGAGCTCTGGGATCATTCACGCCGATTCGCGTGCGAGTTATATTGAAAAATGTTACTTACGCGGAAACCCCACAGATCGCGCACTTGTCGGTTTAAGTTTAGGTCAATCTCCGCTACAAGAACACCGTCCCGAGTTCTGCTCAAGCCCTGGAATTTTTTTGCATTCATTATCGAAGATGTTTCCCCGTGAGAGAGAAGTTTTGCGGATATTCCGAGGGAAACCGCGCTCGGGACTGGCATGCTCACCTCTGTGCGTGAGCCGTCCGGCGCGGCTACGTAACTGGACCCGTAGAAATGACCGAAACTTCTGTGCGCAGCTCTTCCATCACCAGACGTGAACTCGTTCGGGAAAGTTTCCTGGAAAGGAGAAAATGAGCCATCATTGAGCTCTGTTGGAAACCGCCGAGATTTTCGACGAGAGCAATCTTAGCCCACTCACCGTGCCAACCCTGTTGATCGCTGCAGTGAAATAAGAGTTCGCGACAGCGGCACAGCGGGCCTCGATCGGCCAAATGGGCTCACTGAGTCCATCCACCGTTGCCGAGGGATTGAACACGATATCGGCTCCATTTAGAGCAAAAGCCAACCAGTTCAGAGGGTGATGACGCCCATAACAAATGTTGATGGCGATTCGACCAAACTGAGTATGGAATACGGGGTGACCGAGATTCGATTCCATGTAGTAGGTGGACTGGAGTCAAGGGATTCAATCAAAACGGTCATTCTTTCCACCTCTGGGCTAAGGGGAGATCGATCCGATTGATCGATTGGAGTCGATCCTGACCCTTCTGAGCTCTTCTCGATAGACTTAGGATACCTCATTGAAATCACCGACTCTTGGGATGTGGTTTTTACGAGTCTTGCCCAAGACAACTCCTGAATTCGATACGACCACACAAGTGTTCCAGATGACGTCGTGCTCGTCTCTCTCGAGTATGGGCGCGAGAATCACTATATTGTACCTGGAAAACGGACAGCATCCAGATAAGTGGGGCTCCCAGAACTGGTCAACGATGACTGTGCGGAGATGAGGTCCAGATTACATGATAGCTGGATGAGAGTAGATAATGATAGAATGCGCCCGGAGAAAGTTTCAACTGACTCACTTTTTCGCCAAATTCTGGCAAAATTTGATGCTCGGGCCATCCTCGGCCGATTCTGCGAACTCACACCAGGGCTGCTTCTCCCGAGTACAAAAGGCAAATGGCATCGCTGGAAAACAATTTGATAGATTACCATCCGGGGCAGATTTTTGTTTTGGGGTGTCGGTGGGGACTTAAAAATTTCGAACTGATGACATCCGCAGAATCTTACAGAATGCCTCCTGGTAGCAGATCACGTTCGATCCGCATTGCGCTGCCGCATGAGTGAGTTTTCCGATTCGCTCCAGGATAGCGTCCCTCTGTTGACCCACAGGATCCGTCGTCGGAGCCTGAATTTTGTTTTGTACGACCGCGATCCGAACTTTGTTTGGTGCCCGAGAATTTTCCGCTTTGGCATCGATGCTATAAGCAGCGAGCTCGAAATCTCCTTCTTCCGCCAAATCACTGATCACTTCCGGAAGTTCCAGTTTTCTGGAATATTTCGCCTCCGTCGACGCTTCAGTCATATTTGGACGATTTACCTCTGAACCGAAAACTAGGATCAATGCACCGAGTCTAAGGCCATGCCCCCAGTTGGTCATCCAGTCAGAGATTCTTCCATTCCCTCGTTCGAATCGATGGAAGCGAGACGGAGCCGAGCGTGAGAAGCCACACCCACCCACTCACCGGAACCCGCTGCCGAAGAGTATTCTGCGCACCTCATCGTGTTGTTCCGGGGACAGATTATCTCTCAGGATTTGCTCGATACTATCCGTCTGCATTCGCTCGGCCATCTCGATCCCAAGGCACGCGTTTCAGGAGTGGTTGGCCAAAACTAGATGAGGAAACATTAGTAGGTCCTTTGAAAGCTGATTCTGTTCAGCAGGATTGTCGAAGCATTCAAGACGTCTTCTCCGAGATATTCATCAGTCGATGAGCTCGATTAAGGGTCTATCCGGACGGACTCGAGGGAGCAGCAAAAATCTCAGTCAGACATCCGTCAAGGTTGTGCAATCGTTGGCTGTTCCGCGGCTTTGGACGAAACTCACATGATCCACTGGAGTCCACTCCGGTAGCTATCCGCCGTCAACTTGCTCGACTGTACGGATGATACTTGGTGTCTCGACGACGAGATTCGCTTCTCCCAGACAGTTGGAAGGTTACTCATGCAAGATGATAATTGACACGTGAAAGAGCAGAGAGAGCAATCCCGTTCCGAGAGATAATCCCTATCAAGGAGCAGCAACGTCTTTTTGTCTCAAGCTTCCAATAGATGGACACGGACGCACAAACAGCGCTCAAATGAAAAGTTCTGCGAAACGGAGCTGACGCTTCTCGGCGATGCATCTCTCGTCTGAGAGACTTATCCGAGCTTAAAACCGCTAATCCCAAGCTTTCAGGTTGTCGTGTCGGATCCAATAATCGAGCCGAGACTCTCGAAAATTATCGAAAACAAACCTGTGATTTTCTCTTCCCAATGCAACGATAATGGGAATCAATCTCGAGCACGTCCCTGAATCTGGAGCAGGTTTTGGGGATCCGATCTTAACGATATTCGAGAGCGGAGGTTCAGCCGTCGTCTGCCGTCAGTACTTCGGTAGAGGGTGGAGTTGTTCGAGAGTACCCATTCCCGGCCCACCGTGGCTTGATCCTTGCAAACCCCGCCCCCGAACTTCTCGAGTTCTAGGAAATCCTTACGCCATCGAGGATCAAGAAGTCTGGGCATCACAACATCTCCGACCGGTCGAGCAAACATCGCTAGCTCCCTCCTGAGATATCTATGCTTGGAATTTGATCGATTGAAACTCGAGCGTGAGCTGGGGACATAGAAGACTCTCTACGGAAAAGTTCCGACGAGGCTCCATGGGTATCTTGTTTCGTTTGGTTTTTTTCAGCGACTCCCACAGGGGATTACCGACAGGTAGCTTCGACATGCGATGTCATCAGTCGTTATCATCGTGATGATCACCCGAGATCTCCAGAAGAGCGGGGAAAGTGATAAGTCACCGGCCCGAACTTCAGGTAAGAAAACCTGTTCCCCCCTCCGAACTTCAAGGATAACGAAAAACTCGAGGTGGAGAAGCAGAGAGGTTCGTCTTCGGCTAGGGGGTTAGGCACCGGCATCCCGAAAGCTCTCCCGACCTCGGAGTCCTCTCCCTCCGAGGTATGAGAGATGAGAGTCAGAGTATCCGTCATTGTAGCTGGGAGCTGTTAGCTCGACTGGAGCATGCAACTTCCGCTCTGGATCTTTCGCGAAAATTCTCGAGCCTCCCACCGACGCTACCAGGGTACTGTAGAAAAGTCGAGAGGGCTGCGACCTCCGATGGAGAGGGTATATAAGCGATGTCAGCTTGAGTCGCGGTCATAGTCTACGCTGGACGACTCGCAGAACCGCTAAACGCTCGTCGAAGCGTCAACTCAGCACTGTTGAGCGTACAACAGCAACTTATTCCACACTACTTCCTCAGTAGCGAGACCCGACATGGCTTTCAACCATTTGTCCAGCGGTCCGCGCAGAAGGCACCCGCTCATCATTTGGGCGCCAGCAGAGCGCGAACCGGAGCCCGCGCTGTCCCTAGTTAACTGGTTTGGCGATCAAATGACTCGGATGGAAGACGAATTGATGCAACACGGAATGTCTGATATACCCGAGGTGGGCCGTATTGACTTCGATCCCTGGAGGAGGTCACGGCTATTCGACGCACTCTTCTCTGACGACGCGTTGCAGACCGAGATGAAGTTCCACGAAAACCCCAACAAGAATCAGATCGAGTGTCAACTTAGCACCGGCTGCGGAGACTTCTTCAGGCCCGAGGACATCGAGCTAAATGTCAAAGACCGTAACATCGAGTTCAAAGCCCGCCGCGAACAAAAATCCGAGGATGGGAACAACTACACCGTTAGAGAAGTTCGTCGCATCATGACTCTCCCCGAGAACGCTGAAATCGACAAACTTCATGCGGAAATGGGTCCGAATGGTAAGGTGATGCTCTCTGCTCCGCTATTGAAGCCTAAACCAATCGAGCCCAAAGTGAAAGGATCTGTGCCGATCAAGATCAATAGGACGTAGCTTGTATGAATGAACGAATGTGATTCGTGATCCTGAATGTTCCTCGAGAATCCCTTCCTCTTGGATGAGTCCCAAGTGCGACTCGATGATCTCGCCTGTAAACAAAGAGCTCTGCATATCACTGTACAAATAAACGGGATTGAATATTTTGTCATACATTAATAAAACTGAATAATTCATCCATCCCTGAGTCCTCGTGTTTTCATTTCTTGACTGAAGCTCGATCACAGCACAGAATCTCGGGACAGGGGTCAGAACCTGTCAGAGGGGTGGAGCGCTCCGAGATCAAAAACAAGACGGCGATTGCCCAAGAAAGGTGTTGAGTATCAAACGACCAATTCCATCGCGGAAGTCGTCGAGTCGACATGGACGCAGAAGTGGAAGTCGCTGAATGACTGGGTCCGCGAAGAAATAGTCCTTGATCGCAGGACTATCATACCGGCTACGATGGCCAATCGCTCTATGTTACTTCGCATTCCTGCGTTACTCCAGTCATCGGATAGGGGAGCATTTCCTCAATTTCAGGAAGCGCACGCGATCCCTCAAAAAATCGACAGCCTGCGCTCATCATCAGGGATGTGAATTTTTCGCAGCAAAACATCGCCGATAACGCGGCGTGTCGCGGTCTGGAATCTGGAATCTCGCGGAAAACCTCGAAATCTCCTAAGAATCGACCCGAATTCGCGGCAAGAGCGAATGCCAAGAACTCCGCTGCACGAATTTGTGTCTCTCGGGGAATCCAGGTCCGATCGGACTTTCGAGCTCGAGGCCTAACTCGAGCAATACCGGGGTTCCGCTGAGCCCTTTCGCGGCTCGAATCACGGTCGATCCTCAGAGCCTGATTTCTTGACCAGGCGGGACTTTCTCCTGGGTTGTTCAAATAAACTCCGATGGAATTGAAGTCAATCCAAGATCAAGCTAGCGGGCACTGCTAGATGTTGTCAGAAATTGCGGTTCCCGGAAAAATCGTGATCGCCGCGAAAATTCACCTCCCTGTTTAGCATGGCTTATCGCAATACCCTTCCGGCTGACGATTGACGTCCGCATGCTGTAGTCAGTTCGGCAGTCGGCAAGCACGGAGCATGCACTGGATGTGGAAACTTGACCCCTTATCGCACTACCTTAGACCTCAGCCCCGTTGGGGATCGGAACTCAAGCCCAATCGGACATTCAAGTGGGTTGGAGAATCAGCAATAGATTGAATTTCGTCGGCCTCCGTCCTGTGAGAGCATCCTCAATCCAGGTGAGAAACTCAACGTCGTTCCGGCCCGTGTCGCAATCTTACTCACGAACGAGCAGGTAGCGACCATATTCGGACACCCCGATCCATCCGATGATCGACTCCCTTGCCAGGCTAGCAAGTCGGATCTCGAGTCTCGATTCGCTCAACTCTGACCTCGAGCTTCTCTGGAAAATTATCTCGGACCAAAGCACAAGCTAATCAATGCCGGTAAAAATGGATTCCGATAATCTTTGTTGCGGAAAAGGCCAGTTCATTCAGGAAGCTTCCCAGCGATGCAGGGACTGTCTAGAATGATCCAGACACTCAATGGGAGAGGGTATTTAAACGAGGCGCGCGAGCCGGACCGTCACATTCGAGACTTAGCTTGCGCCGAATGCGAGTCGTGTTCGTCTCAGCGTTTCAAGCTTCAAACTTCGTGTACTCTAGTAGCAAACATGTCGTGCTGTCAGCGTGATCATCCGCTTGCCATGTGGGCGCCTTCGAGCAGTGAGCTGCAGCCCTCACTGACACTCATGAGTTGGTTCGACGATCAGCTGTCCCGCATGCAAGGAGATCTAATCCAGAACAGATTCTTCGATTGCCCTGAGGTGGGTCGCATCGACTTCGGTCCTCGAAGGAGATCGCGTCTGTTCGATGCGCTGTTCTCCAACGACGCCATCGACACAGAAATGAAGTTCCACGAAAACCCCAACAAGAACCAGGTCGAATGTCAGCTGAGTACCGGTTGCGGGAACTTCTTCAGACCAGAAGACATCGAGCTCAACTTGAAAGATCGCAACCTAGAATTCAAGGCCCGACGAGAGGAAAAGTCTGAGGATGGCCACAGCTACACGATCAGGGAAGTCCGTCGAGTTGTTCCGGTTCCCGAAACTGCTGAAATCGAGAAACTCCACGCCGAAATGGGCCCGAACGGGAAGGTGATGCTGTCAGCTCCGCTATTGAAGCCGAAACCCCTGGAGAACAAGGCCAAAACTCCCGTGCCAATCAAAATCAATAGATCGTGAACACGCATGAATGAATGGATCAGTATCGCGAGTCGCTGGACGTATGTTCAGGTGCTGACGAGTGGGCACCCCTGAATGATTGAATATTTAAGGCGAATTGAGTGGTCAAAGTTTGATCTCCATCGTGCCACGAGCGCGTCATCTCATTTTCCTTTTTTGTACGAAGGCAAATCACCGTGAAATCATTGATAAAATCCAATAAATATAATATTGAAGTCGAAACTCCGCGAGTTCTCATTGGTCAGCTCGAAACCGTCATTTCGGAACAGTAGTAATTCTCTCCAAGTTTCGCGGGAAATTCGTTCCGTCCCACGAAATTCTTTGATTTCGACCGATTATGACTCATATTCGCCGGAAGCTCCTGAACGAGTTTCATCTTCTCGCACGGGCGGGTCTTCCGCCGCGGGGTCCTACTCATCCTTCATTGACTCGTTTTGTTGGCGTTGTATTTCGGGGGTTCGGAGCTCCGCACAGAAAACCGGCCAGGGAACCGTTAGCACACGGGCGCCTGAGTGAGTTGTTTTCGATTCATGAGCTTTTTGAGTGAGCGCGCTCCGTACCCGATGGATACTCGGTATTGAATATGAAGCACAGCGTCCACCGTCAGGCTCAGCTCAGATCCCCTCAGAGGACTCCTTGAACCGATAGAATCACGGTGAGAGCGTTTCGACTCTGCTCAAGGCTGATAACGTGCGGAGGATCCTGTAATCGAACTGAAGAGCGACAGCAGCGTACGTTAGGCACGAGGCTAGAAACTTGACGAAATTCTCAACACAGTGAGTGAAGTAGCCGATTTTCAGGGCGTCCCATCCGTCATTGAATCGGAGCACGGCGGGCACATCGGAATGAGATTCTCTGGAAAAGTATCCGTTTTTCAACAGAATCAATCGGTCGGTTTCCACGCACAAATTCCTGAAAGCCGTGCATCGCCCAGCCAAGACGAAGAGCTGAGCGACCTGCAGTATGAAACCCACCATGGGGAGATGACTCCGCAGCGGATACTTTCCTTCTGTGTGTAGTTTGGTGGGAATATAAAGAATCATGAAAAGAATCAGGACATAGATCAATGACAGAACATGGGCGAAAACAAAGTTCGTGGCCCTTATTCGTTTCCGCAGATCCCATTTCTTCGCAATCACGTCGGGGACGTCCACGTACGCTCCATGCAAAGCCTCCGCTATGTGTCGCTGATCGTCAATCATCCGGCAAACAATGTCCGAAATTATTGAGACACACGCGAAAAATACCACATGGTTCACAATATAGGTAAACTGGAAGACGACGGCATCCCCTCGCACTCGCACCCTCGAAAGAACGTGGAGCTGACATGCGATGAAGGCAAAGGCGCACCCGATATTGAATGTGACGTCTCCGAAGGCACGCCCCTCCCTCCGTAAAAGAGCTTCGACCGTGTCTCTGAAAATCCGCACTCGGAGTGCTGTATAGAGCACCGTCATCGACGATAAAGCACAGTAAATGATTATGATCATGTCGCACAGGCTGCAGGGACCTTGTAGCTCCGCGAGGCTTCTCCTCGTATAGTTTGGTACTGTGAAAGCCGTAGAACCTAGCTGCATCAGCCAGAATGCGAGAACCATCCTGTCCAGCCACAGTTTTTTCGCGAATCCAGTCTGTATACCGAAGACTAGACACGTACCGCGAAAGAGGAAGTCCCATAGGGTTGCCGCTCTCTCCGACGGTTTCAGGTCATTGGGTATGCGTTTCCCGGCACGCTCCTGAGCCATGAGTTCACTCCTAGCTTAATAAGCGAAACTAGAGTTCGAATGATGTCGTCGTTTGAGCGACGAGCAAGGTCTGCGATGCGTCTAGCTTGAGAGTGGATTCCGATTGGGCTGAGCTAATTCTAAGATGAGAAATCATTCGATGAATTGAGAAGGGTTGCCATGCAACGGTGCGACAGGCGATGCACTCGACGCCGTCAATGCATTCGAATGGCAACTTGAAGGTTTCGAAGTCAGCTCGAGAGTCATCCTCAATCATCGATCTCATCGATCCTGGGGAAACGGATCGAAACAAGATTCGAAGGCGACACTCATTCAAACCGCGACGCACCAACGAAGTCTCCGGGACACAATTATGCAGAGATTCCATTCATCGGATGACTCTCATTGATTCCTTTCGCAAGTCTTCTACAGCCTGACGTGAGATGACGTCTCGGCGAATCAAAGTCTGAGCAGTTCCGACCTTTCAGTGGTCAGCTCGGTGAATCCTTGGAGTTTCCCGAGTGACCACATCGAAAATAGCCGTGGACCCAGCCATGATCATGATCCCCACCGTTATCGCTTTGGATGCCATACTTCAGAAGAGGCCCAACATCTGACTCTGTTATTCGGTTGTCCGCGCCAAGCGACACTTTGATGAGAGGAGCTAGGGGCGGAATTCTTCGTGTAATCTTCCTTGACTTGAACAGTGTCAGGTACACGTCACTCCGAGATCACTTGTGCACAAGGCGTGTAGTCGCAGGGTAATTCTCCCACGGCCGCGACCTCCCACTTGGAAGCTGTCTTGGAACAATGATCGAGGAGGTGTCCGGATTATTCCGGTGTCATCGAGATTCAATAGAAAGTGCTCTCTGATTCCAGATCACGATAGATAATATGAAGGACGCTCGCGCCCGGCAACTTGGGTCCGCTTCTCGACCGGAATTCCTCTCCAACCGGGATATCCGCTCCAGCCCAACGATCTTTCCCAAGCGGGACGTTCTCCCACACCGTGGATTCCACCTCAGCCAGCTCTCCCGCTCAAGTCGCACTTCCCCCGCACCCGATCGGCCCTCCGCAATCAGGCTCTTACCAACAAGCCCAGGTGCGGTCGTCCGAGGTCGTTCTGGAGCCTGGTAGCGGGCTCCTCCCACTTACGGTGAGCGGCTCGTGGAATAATCTGGCTCATTGGAGAGTCTTCCAGCCACATACGATGGACTGGTTCGATCGAGGTTCTCATCCAAAGATATCCGACGTCAGCTCGTGCAGAAGGTCTACACTTCTACACGATCCTTCCGAACCAGATGATGGTGAGGACTATTTTCTTGAGGACTATCGCCTCATGAAGGAGAGGGCGCCCATGTTCGGTGTGGATGCGAAGTATTGATTGCTCCGTTGTTGAAGGACTCATGCAGTCTCGACATCTGAAACTCGAGACTGCTATCACAACATCTAGTGAGACCACATGTCAACAACATGTGAGAGCCAGTCCAATCGATCGGCAAGGACTGAACGATCCAGAAAGATCGAGAGCTTTCATCATCTGAAAGCTTCTTATGTACAACGCACAGACAGATCTCGCGGAAGAAACATGAATCGGTTCCGTCTGCACGCGTTCTTTCAGAAGGATTGCAGGTACGACGGCGTATTCGAACTCTGAGTTTTGGAGATCCTCGAATAATCTTTCAGGAGAAGCTCATTCTTCTCGGCATTTCCCTTGAATTCGAGAGACGATTCTACCGCGCCGCGTGACCTAAGCTTCGTGGCTTCTTCAGTTCCTCCCATCGAAGCTCTGGTGAGGGAAGTAGCTTCGGGAATAGTCTGGCAAGCTCCGTGTCATCAATGCTCCATTTTTCCGATCGACAATATGGTCTGTAAGGCTTTAATTTGATGTTTCTCCTCAGCATGCCCGGAATTTCTCGGAAACGGTCTTCCTCAATCCATGCACTCATCTAATCCGGTATCTTCCACGGGTGAGCGTAAATGTTCGACCAAGTCTCAGACCCGGAAGACCCCCGTTCCCGCTGAACCGGGTTGATTGTGGGGGATGAGATTTCTCCTTCAGTGGAAAACCTATCTCGTTGTCCGCAGCGCAATATGCAGGGGTGTCTTCACTTCGAAATAGTTTTGAAGAGCGGCCGAAGAGCTCGTCTAGCGACTTTTGTTGATAAAATCGAATGGCTATTTCTCGAGAGCCTTCCAGAGCGGAAGGACGTCATCAGTGATAAGTGATAACTGATCACTGATCACTGATCACTGATCACTGATCACTGATCACTGATCACTGATCACTGATCACCAATCACCACCCACGGATGATGAGGCTGTCACGGATTCAAGGGCCCGATCAAGAGGGGAATCTTCTACTCCCCTTGTCATGTTCAACATTCCCGGCTATATTCAGAACTCCACAGAAATAAAATCATCCTGGAGAGCTTTGAGATTGACAAAAAAATTGAATTCGACAATCAATTCGGGAACGGCGGCGATTCGATTCGAGCATCAGTGATTCCCTTCTCTTCAGATTCACCCCGTTTCGCAGCATTCGGCTTGTCCCACGACGTTCCTCGTAGGCACCGGTAGAATTGAGAATCATCGAGAAAACCCGAGAGAGCTCCGAGGGGAAGGGTATATAAACTGAGCGCGCGAACAGAGCCGACATAGTCAGCTGACGACTTTCCTCGCTTACACACATCTGTGACTCGAAGGCGAATCACCGGAGGATTTCCGCGAGTGTATTCATTAACCACGTCAATAGTGAATTTCTCTCATACAAGTGATCATGTCTTGCACAGGATGCTCGTGCCGTCAACGTGCTGGGGAAACTCCCCTCGCGATATGGGCACCCCCAAGCAGCGAGATCGCACCCTCATTGTCTCTGGTGAGCTGGTTCGATGATCAACTTTCCCGAATGCAAGGGGATCTGATCCAGAACAGTTTCTTCGGCATTCCCGAGGTCGGCCGCATCGATTTCGACCCTCGAAGAAGATCACGACTCTTCGATGCTCTTTTTTCGAACGACGCGATAGAGACCGAGATGAAATTCCACGAGAATCCGAAAACAAATCAAGTGGAATGCCAGCTGAGCACCGGCTGTGGAGATTTCTTCAGACCAGAGGACATCGAAGTTAATGTCAAGGATCGCAATGTCGAATTCAAAGCTCGCCGGGAACAGAAATCGGAGGACGGTCACAACTACACTGTGCGAGAAGTCCGACGCGTTTTCCGAGTTCCTGGGAATGCAGCGGTCGACAAACTTCACGCCGAGATGGGTCCCAGCGGGAAAGTGATGCTTTCCGCCCCGTTGTTGGAGCCGAAGCCCATCGAGAGTAAAGTAGATGGGCCAGTGCCGATCAAAATCAACAGGCAGTGAATCCGTGCTACGAATGTAGGGAATCCCATTTGACACCCGACAAGCGACGAATATTTTCTTGCTCGTCGGCATGTTTCGCGCGTCTGACTAGAGTATCACACGTCATCGATCACTCCGTATGGAAGTGAATGCAGATCACCCTAGTTTCGCGATCAGATGCGCAAAGAATTGCATTTCTTGAAAATACCGCGCGTTAATAAATGTTTCCGCTTCCGTATTTGCAAAATTGTGCGTCTTCATTTTTCTAGCGAGACCTCGCCGTGAGTTCTTCCCTCATTTCTCGACGCATGAGAGTTTCATGCTTTGAGGGCGGGCGGTAGACAGCCTTAGGAAACAACAATATCCAGCCTCAAGAGTGTCATCCGCCGTTACCGGTACCGGGTTAGATTCCCGAACAGCACATGCGGAAGGAACGGAGAGGAGCTTTTCGAAAGAATCGAAGCTCGAACGAGCCAGTGTTCAATGGGGGTGTCCGCAAGATGAAGTCAGGTCAAACTCCATCGAGTTCCGTCGAATCCGTCGTGCCTCCTTTCGGGGAGATTTACAATGGAGCCGCAATCGCCGGGTTAGCCGAGAGTCGATCTCCAAACTGCTCCCTTCATTGAGGATCTCCACCACAGTGCAGACGACCGTGCCCTGAAGAGAAGAATCATGTCATCCCCACTGCGGGACCTATTCTTCACTGTTCGTCCGAACCGTCCACGTTCGAGAGTCATCATCAAGTCCAGGATCATCGCACGAACTAATCATGTAAATAACTTATTCGCGTGGCGCGTCTCCAGGCGCATCCATGTTTCACCCTTTATCCCGACTAAAAAGTCTACAAATTGAATTGAATTGAGCCCCCGACGCAGAGAGCTTCCAGTGCGATTCTATCACACCCGAAAAAGAGCAACCGCGAAATATCTCTCTCTGACTGGATCGCGACCGTGATCCCGCAGCATAGCCGATGGTCGCTCTGACGTTGCTTTATCGGTTGTTCCCGCTGCAATTGGATCGTGGAGCATCAAATTGCGGACGTCCGAGAGGTCAACGTTCAGCACCTACGTCGCTTCTCCAACCGGAGTTGTTCCATCCTCCCAGACTTCAGATTCTACAAGTCGTCTACACGAGCACACGTGCAGTATCATGAATTTCGAATGTCATCCGGAGAGGGCTCCGCAGTCGTCGAGGCGATGAATCGAAAATATGCTGCATAAGACACCGAGGCGATTCGAGGTTCCGAGGGAGTCGCTGCGCGCCTCAACAATTTGTCCGGAAGAAGAGCAGGGAAGAAGTCATTCTTCCATTTACCACCCCCTCGATTGCTGTCCCTCAGAGTGAGCCTTAATATTCAAGCTCGTGGGAATGATCAAGCTCACTCATTGTGTTGAAATTGAGAGGACGATTCAGCCACAGCCGGACTTATCCATGCAACTATGATAGTCTTCGAGTGACCGGGAGATTGATTAGGTTTCATTGATTCCCGAACCGCGCGGCTAGGTTGAGTTGGACGAACCGAGCGCTTGCTCAGAACACGTAAACAAGAGTCATTCGGCGTCTTGCGTGTGAGTCATCGCAGCGGCGTGTGTCCCGGGTCGTGAGTCGTGAGCGGTGGCCAAAGTGAACAGCTTGCGAGTGACTTCATCCGCCTACACTTCGCTGTCGCCAGCGAGCGTACACAACTCGACAGAACATTCGCGGCGAGTATTCTCGACTCTGACCAAAGCGGCCAGGTGGCGCTGCCCTCCACATATAAAGTATTATGTGTGCTGGACGGCGCAAAACGTGCAAAGAGCGCGAACAGTGAACTGTTGCAGCTGTCTTGGGAGCTGAGTTGTCTAGCGCTCTACAACTCGATCAGACATGAAAACTCCAGCAATCGGTATAGATCTCGGAACGACCTACTCGTGTGTTGGTGTTTTCCGCCATGGGAAAGTGGAAATCATCGCTAACGACCAGGGAAACCGCACAACCCCATCTTACGTTGCCTTCACCGACACGGAGAGACTCATCGGCGATGCCGCCATCAATCAGGTCGCCATGAACCCGGAGAACACGGTTTTCGACGCTAAGCGTCTAATCGGGAGACGGTTCGATGACGCGGCCGTGCAGAGTGACATGAAACACTGGTCGTTCAAAGTTGTCAGGGATGGCAATAAACCGAAGATCCAGGTGGAATTCAAAGGTGAACGGAAAACATTCAACCCCGAGGAGATCAGTTCCATGGTGCTTGTCAAAATGAAGGAAACCGCTGAAGCTTATCTCGGCGGCGCGGTGAAGGATGCGGTTATCACCGTCCCCGCGTACTTCAACGATTCCCAGAGGCAGGCCACCAAAGATGCCGGGACCATTGCCGGACTGAACGTTCTCCGGATAATCAACGAACCTACGGCCGCAGCTATCGCCTACGGCTTGGACAAGAAAGGCACCCACGCCGGAGAGCGTAACGTGTTAATATTTGATCTCGGTGGCGGGACGTTCGACGTTTCGATTCTCTCCATCGACGAAGGTGTTTTCGAAGTCAAATCCACGGCCGGCAACACCCATCTCGGCGGTGAGGACTTCGACAATCGAATGGTGAATCATTTCGTCGAGGAGTTCAAACGGAAACAGAAGAAAGATTTGTCTTCTAATAAACGCGCGCTGAGACGGCTCCGGACAGCGTGTGAGAAAGCCAAGAGAACGCTTTCGTCCTCCACGCAAGCTTCCATTGAGATCGACTCCCTCTTCGAAGGAGTCGATTTCTATTCGATTCTCACCCGGGCTCGCTTCGAAGAGCTCTGCTCGGATTTGTTCCGCTCGACGCTCGAGCCGGTAGAGAAAGCATTGCGCGATGCTAAAATGGACAAAAGCAAAATCAATGACGTCGTGCTGGTGGGCGGTTCCACACGCATCCCGAAGATCCAGAAACTTCTGCAAGATTTCTTCAACGGCAAAGAGTTGAACAAGTCGATCAATCCAGACGAAGCCGTCGCGTACGGCGCCGCAGTTCAAGCCGCCATCATCAGCGGAGACAAATCTGAAGTTGTCCAGGATTTGCTCCTGTTGGACGTGACGCCGCTGTCGTTGGGTCTCGAAACGGCGGGCGGAGTCATGACGACGCTGATCAGTCGGAACAGCACTCTGCCAACGAAGCAGACCCAAGTATTCACGACGTATTCCGACAATCAACCAGCTGTGACCATCCAGGTCTATGAGGGCGAACGAGCCATGACGAAAGACAACAATCTCCTCGGCAAGTTCGACCTGACAGGCATTCCTCCGGCGCCCCGAGGGATTCCTCAGATAGAGGTGTCGTTCGAAATCGATGTCAACGGAATCCTGAGCGTTTCTGCTGCGGATAAGTCGAGCGGAAGACAAAACAAGATCACAATCACGAACGACAAGGGACGTCTTAGTAAGGAAGACATCGATAAAATGGTCCGGGACGCCGAGAAGTTCAAGGATGAAGACGATAAGCAAAAGGCGAGAATCGCCGCGAAGAACGCTCTGGAAAGCTACTGCTTCGGTGTCAAGGGTACTTTCGACGGAGACTACGACAAGATCAAGGACAAAATCTCTGAGTCAGATCGCAACTCGGTGTTGAGCAAAATCCGAGAGACCCTCCAATGGTTGGACTCGAACCAGCTCGCCGAGACCGTAGAATTCGAAAGCCGTAGGAAAGACCTCGAGCAGTTTTGTCGACCCTTCGTCACGAAGTTGTACCAAGACGGAAAAGCTCCGCAAGGCGGACCCACAGTCGAAGAAGTCGATTAATCCGATAAGCTTTGTAACTGGGCGGAATTCGATATGTATCTAGACGGGTTGACGTACAGGATATTCCGAGAGAGACTCGCTGACCCCGGTCGTAGTCAGTCGAGGGAGAGAATCCGTTTTGAGGTAGATCCTCGATGTAAAAATCTTTGCTTTGTGTTGTTTTTACGCTTCAGATTTCCGAGTGCTTCGCCAGTTTTCTTTCTTCCTGTTCTAGCCTAAATTAACGTTGTTGAACGGAGCTTATTGTTTGTCCGAGCTACGGGGCTGGAAGTTGTGCTCACCTTCGTCAGGATTCTGGGAATAAAATTCCGATACCGATTACCTTAGTCGTATCGGGCTCCATTTGCGGGAAGGTGATAAGCATCAAATGCATGGAAAAATCACGTCATGTCCAGGGAACAGCTGGGGATTTATTAACCGAGCTGTGTGCCGAGGAGCTCTCCAGTCAAAGGGAATTACTCAATCATGCGCGATGCCACCACGATGACGCGAGCGTCAGGTGTCAACCCTGCGCGCAGACTCGAGGGATCACAATCGTCTGGTAGCGTATGCTGAATTCGTACTCTGTGGCCGATAGTACGCAGTCCATCAGATGACGCCAGGTTGAGATTTGCGTGCACTTGAACGCTTCTTCCGTCAACGCTGATAAATACATCTTTCGAGTAAGGCATTTGAGGGAGATTGAGACTCACGAGGAAGACGTGCTTGTCTCCGTAGATCTCCCTCCGAACGAAGGGGTACTCATCAACAGGGAAAGCAGAGGCATTCGCTCCTTCCGAAAGTGCAGCGGCTCCGATTGGAGTATGCTGGTCGCTTTCTTCTTTACTCGTGGGGGCCATCGTTGCTTCTTTCTTGCGGCTCGATCTATCCGGGCTTGAGCTCTCCCTCGAGTCTGTGTGCCGAATGTCTGCGGAAACCTCGAGCGGCGAGAATTCGCTTGCCACCAGAACGCTGATCGTTGCCAATCGAATGGAGAAAGTGTAGTAGAATATCGATCGGCAGATCAAATGTTTGCCAATGTGGTGATCTAGATATCAGACTTCATCTAGATATCGATTTATCTGATTCCTTGGTTTCGACAACCAGACTCATTACCATTCAAGGAACTGGTCTTCGGGGAATCATGGATGCTTCACGAGCAATCGAATGAAAGTTCTGGATCGGACTGTCCCATGAAGGGAATCAAGAAGTCTGAGAAGCATAGGTTCGGTAACTTCGGTCTGGAACGAACTGTCCTCGAGTCGTCTCGTTTGAGATTTGAAGCAGCTAGCGAAGGAAGGCTCGGGACTCTGGACCCTCCCTTTTCCTTCCTCGGGGGTGAAATCAACCGTGGGACAGCTGAGGACTCAGAAGATTTATTCTCAAAGCCTCCGTGTCGGAAGCTGTACAATTCTGCTCGATCGCCTCGATGGCGGTTTCCCGGCTGCGTAAGGGATGGTGATCTTCAGAAGGCCATCTGGTGACAGAAGTCCGCGAAGATTCTCCAAATCGCACCACATTGGAGCCGGCAGAGACAGATGGATTTCATGCGAAACGCTTTTGTCCGTGGTTTTGAATTCACTGGTCGCTAAAATCGATACGACGACACCGTCGCTCTCAAGCTTGATGTTGTTGACGTTCAATTTCCCTGACGTATCGATGCGGAGGATGCACTCGTACCGCTTCTTCTGGTCGCATCGATGGAATTCTAGATCTTTGAAGATTGGTTGATTCGTACGGAGGTCTATATCTTCGTCGTATATTTCGGCCGTCCTCCTCCTCCCTCTGCTTACGGCTTTCTTGCATCGCATTCCAACAGTCGACAGCCGTAATTGCGGATTGAGGTTCTTTCCTTCCTCTTGCCTTCCCTGCTCGGGACGCGCAGTAGATCGCAAGTTCTCGCTCATCTTGGTGCCACTGAGCGATGTAGTCTGACGAGAACACGCCGCCCAACTAGCTCGGATATCGGTAACAATTCTCGCTCTCGTCGAAGACTCGCCTAATAGATAACTCTCTCCCCGGGATATCACATTCCTTAGCCGCATCCTCCAATGAATATGGCTTGCGAGTACGAAACATTCGAGTTGCCCCGCAAGCCGGGTCGAGTTGTCGAAGTCCAAATCGAAGCTTGGACTTTTTGGGGCCGAGAAATTCAGTCGCAATACACTCCGAAAGAAATCAAGATGCGTCTTTTACCGCGGCGTTTGACTCTCTCCCTCAATTTCACTGACGATTTTCAGTTTTGGGTACATGATCCAAGCCAAGCATCGGGAAATTGCCCTCACATCAAACCTGCTGCAAAATCCTCAACTCCGATTGTTACTGCGTACCCGCATGGCACCCTCGAAGAGCTTAGGAGACCGCTCACCTCGTATCGTCATGCTCATCGGCCTGGATGTCCTACAACTCCCAAACCTAGCGTCTCAGGTCCCTTCCATTATGAGCTCAGTGGGGAAACCTGAGCGGAAACCCGACCCCATCGTGAAGGAAGGCGACCGCCATCTCTGTTTGCATCGAAGTCCGTCATCCCTAACCTATCGTAATGCTCTCCTATTCTCGCACCCACTATGATCATCCATCACTTGTGAATAATGTGGAGGGCGTCCGACGACGTGCCACCCATTGGTTGCTTCCCAGGTTCGATATCAAAGACGATGACACGGAGTTACCGAGTTCTGAAGACCTTCTTGATTCAGACGACGATAATACAGTCCTTTCTCTATTTATCTCCTGAAAGAGTTCATCTCCTCAGAACAGGTCCTGTTCTTAGGAGATGTTATCCTGTTCAACAGGATGACCCCTTCCCTCCTTGTGATGCCAGGTCACACCAAATCGCAAGCACGATTCGGATCATATGCCTTCGCTCTCGGTATCTCCCCATCCCGCTCTCAAGCCTTCCCTCTCCTCTGAAGGAGAAATATTCATTAAAGTCGTGGATTTCCATCATGTACGTTCTGAGGGGATCTCGAGTATTGGAGAGGCGTCTACCCGAGACGCGGTGTCCCGTATTGAACACGTTCTTCGAACGAACGTTTTTTGAGGATGCTAGGCCATGAACGGTGTTCTTGTCGGGAATCGAAAACCAAGGCTCTCAAGCTCGCATGAAAATACTGACTGCACTTTATTATTTGAATGTGGACTGAGCGAATGATATTACACTCATCTTGAGATCACGTCGTCCATGGTGGTTCTGCATATTGTTCTATTATAGACTTTCCTAACATGATACAGGCTTCACTCGCGATCCAAGTTATATCGGGATGCAGGGTCCAAGTAAACTCCTCGCGCTGTACTCTAGACACACACTGTCAGATTAGGGTACGGTTGATATTTAGAGGAAGTCATTTTCGGGAACACTAAGCGCGAATTCGAGATGTACCCATGGAGTCGACGATGAGATCACTTCCTGTTGATCTTGATCGGCACAGGTCCTTTCGGTTTGTTCTCGATCGGTTTCGGCTTCAGCAATGGAGCAGTGAGCATCACTTTTCCGTTCGGACCCATCTCGGCTTGAAGTTTGTCGACTTCGGCGTTTTCGGGAACAGAGAACACGCGACGAACTTCCCTGACCGTGTAGTTATGACCGTCTTCGGACTTCTGTTCGCGGCGAGCTTTAAATTCGACGTTCCGGTCTTTCACATTGACTTCGATGTCTTCCGGCCGGAAGAAATCTCCGCATCCGGTGCTCACTTGACATTCAACACGGTTCTTGTTGGGATTCTCATGGAACTTCATCGCCGTGTCGATGGCGTCGTTGGAGAACAGAGCATCGAAGAGTCGCGATCTCCTGCGAGGGTCGAAATCGATGCGGCCAACTTCAGGAACATCGAAGAATCTGTTCTGGGCCAAATCCCCTTGCATCCTTGCCATCTGATCGTCGAACCAGCTGATGAGTGACAATGAGGGTTCGAGCTCGCTGCTCAAGGGGGCCCACATGACGAGCGGGTGCTCCCTGGCACGCTGACAGCATGAGCTTCCATTGAACGCCATGGTATTTTGACGGGATCCAACTCCGGAGTACTCTTCACTGAGAACAACTAGCAGATCGCAGGACAGGCAGAACTCGAGAGAACGTTTGAACCTCTTGGCTTAAGTCAGTGGTTCGCGCTCAAGGCGAGTCGAATGTGTACTGTGATCGCTCCGCTCGCGCGCTTCGCTTATATACCCTTTCCCTCGGAGCCCTCTGGATCCTTCTCGAATCTGCGGGCGCGGACGAGAAACATCGTCGGGAGACTGGAATTTTCGTCGCGGAAAATCGTCTCTCGAGTTTCAGATCGGAGTTCAAACACCGGGAACTACATTCTAATCCATCGTATGCAGTAACTCCTAGATTAAGGCTTTGGTTTGACCCGAATATCGATGTCAAACTGTCAGATTGGGTCTGGATAGGACTAGTGACTTCACAGACGCTCCGTATCTTTTCGCGGAATTCGATTCGATCGCTGCAGCTGAATCCAAGGATGTCAATCCCGAAGCATACGGGGGATTGGCAGTTCTCCCAATTATTGGATGTTTCCATATTCAACGAGAATGATCGAGTTGCCTCCATTTAAGCCCTGAGGTCTCCGATCGAGTCCCGTCGGCCAGTGTGGACCGTGGGAAATTCTAGTCACCTCCATGATGTTTCCTGGCTGTTTCAGCTCGAAACCCTGAAATTCAATGTGAGCAGACCTTCAGGGAATGCGAAAGTATTTCTGGTGACTAGACCGCCCTTCAACAATTGCAATGCCCGTTCGCCACATAGGACTGAGGATTTTCATTATGAATCTGCGGGAATCCTCTGAGCTCCCGAAATCCTGCTATCCGAAGACATCGTTCGCAGAAGAGCGAGGACGGGAGAAATGGGTCGGAGGATCGATTGCTTCCCTCGGTCGATCAGGGAAAAAAATTCGAATTGGAGACTTGGCAGCTTTTCACCGATTGAGTTAGTAGTCACTCAAGTCTGGCATCTCTTTGAACAAGAAATCGGTGATCGAGAAGACTTCTTCCGATCGGCTCGATCAGCGGTTCCGGACTTTTTCGCAGCGCAGGACCCCCTCCGGAGTCTCCGACTGTGCTCAGGACTCCCTGAAGTGTCATTCCAAACGTAGCAGTCGGCAGTTTCGCGAGGCAAAGGTGATTTTCCTTTCCACCATTGGATAAGCTCCCCCGAAAGAGCTAGGAATCTTGATGCCTTACGGCTGCTTTATTTCCTCGCACGCCACCTCGAGAATGGTTTCTTTTAGTTTCCTCTAGGTCCAGACTTGTTGTTGTCGCAACCCTACTTTCGCTGACGAGTCCTTAGGGAATGACTCCGACAGAGGCTTCAAGAACACAGCCGGAGTATAAAACCTATTCATATTCGACATGCTTCACTTGATTATTCTGATGTCTCGCTCCGCCGGGATAAATGTTCGCAAGGATCACTTCGTCAACAACCGGAATTCTGCCCTGAGGACGGCATGATCGTTGATTCCGCGGGAGGGCGGTCGAGCTGGTATCCCAAAAAATACTGTCAGATGAGGATTCTCCTCTATTTCGGGGTATACACCCTGAGTTTCGTGCTCGAGGATCGGTAAGTTCAGCTGCAGCTGTATATCGTCTTGATTCTGCTCTGAAGGAGTAAACTTTAGGGCGAGCACAAGCAGATCTCCAGAATTGGAGTAATCGGGGAATGGATTTGACTCCGGGAAGCCTGTAAGATGCTCGGAGCGGAGCTCTATATTTCGCACATATTCGCGAGACACGACAATCAATTGACTGAGCTCAGCGTCAGTAGGGACGCGACGTGCTCTGAGATTCCGTAGCGGATCCGCGGACCAAGTGTGTGGACCCGATTTATCTACATACATAAGCGAGCTGTCAGCGATGACAATGAGCCATCGGCTGCAGCATTGAATGGACAGCTTCCATACAGATGATGAGATCACCGCCTTATGATCTTCATCGGCGAGCGCTCTCAGGCCTGGCCCTCGATGGACTCGGGCCCATTCCGGGGTGAGAAACGTTGACCGCTGCGTTCTCAGGAGCTCAGGAGAGGCGTCTGATTCCTCTCACAGCGTAGTTTCGCTCCCCCCGTCTGTGACCTCAGAGTCGACTCCCCGAACTATGACTCTAGTTGGTTTCAGTCGCACTTCAATCTTGCAATCTCAACAGCTAATGCACGTTAGCATCCGAAAAAGTTTGGTCGAATCTCTCGTGTAACTCCATCTTCGCGTCCATCCCGTCGTTTGAGAATAGAGCATCGGAGAATTGCGATTTCCTACGGAAGTCGGAGTCGACAAAGCAGGGTCTAGAACATCCACGAACGTATCGGACTCAGAAACGTATCCCAGGATGAAATACCATATGAACCCTGAACCAGATGTACAGCAGCAGCGAGGGTTCCGGCCCGCTGCCGGAGGTGGTCAAAGGGACGGGTGAGTGGTGCGTGCTGTTTGGCTCGTAGCCTGCTACAGGTTCCCTTGCATGACACGATCTTCGATGAGACTCTGATTCGACTCGAGAGCCCCGTGGGGGCGAAATTCGAAGGAAACCAGGTTCGGTCGGAAATGGCAAACATCTTTTCACTCGATGCGACTTCCCCGATCATCGAGCGAAAAGAATGCCGCTCCTCCATGGATGGTCCCCGATTCAGGTTCCCGAAGCCAACATGCTAGTAATCAGCGAGAGAAGCTCCTGATCAGCTATTCGATATGTGATCGAGGCCTCGAAGGCCTGAGCGATCGAAGGAAAGGAAAAAGAGGCTGTGTATATTACACGGATGATCGACTTCATCTACGTGCGAAGGCTCCTCTCTCTCTCCGTTGCGATCCTCTGAGGTCCCGCTGTTTATAATGCGGTCTTCCCCTCGCCTAAATAGCAGACGACGTAAACACCGTCGGGCACGAGTATGATCGTGTTCCTTGTCACCCCGCTGATATCGTGAAATCCTTTTCCGGAAAATATCCGCGGAGAGGAGGGGGCTGAACAAAGCCTCTCACACACCAAATGTTTTCCGTGAGTTCCCGAAAACGGGTCCCTCTGTTCCGAGCACCCATCAGGTTCCGCAGATTCGATCCATGATCAGGATCAGAAATCCGATTTGTCAGCAAATGGTACCGATGTGGCAAGCGATTAACGAGTGAATTGAATGTTAGCGTGGGGGAAAATGGTGAGGATCAGTGCGCGAGCCGACCAACAGCTCTCGGAGATCGACCGCGGCACCACTTTCCGCGGCTTGCCTAGATATCGCCGCTTCAATTTTGCGCGGTGCGGACGCGAATCCTTTCCCGATGAGCCATCGGAGCTTGCTTTCTCTCCGGAGTGCCAAGAAGCCTAACTTCGAGGTCACGCTCGCAGAAAGTGTGGCATCTCGCAGGGCACAGCCCCTCGCCGGCAGCTCGACGATCGGAGACCTCCGATATTCGGCTTGTCCGATACAGGATCGAATAAGGTTTGGATGCCGGATGCTTTTGGAGGGAAGCCTTTCACGCCCGTGATCTTTTCGTCCTCACGTCGACGTTCACACGGAAAAAGGAAATCGTGAGGTGGCACTGCTCCGCCAAGACATAGGCGAGAGCATGGGCTGCCGTGATGAGGGGATGACCGATAAAATAGTCCGAGTCGAGGGACTCTAATGCTCAACTCTGAGAGTGTTCGACGAAAGCAGCAGCAGTAACAGATGTCTCTCGCGCAGTTATCCGCGGTCGATCGAGCTGGAGCTCTTGATTTTTCAAGTTTATCCCCCATGCGGGAAGGAAAGCTGCAAGTGTAGTTCACGTGCTCGCCCACCCAGTACATGTTGCCGCAACTTCGAATATTCGGCTCGAGAGTGTCCTCGCAATTTTGTCGAAAGGCGTACTCTTCTGCGGACATCTGAGTAGCGTATGCACATGAGACCGACTTAACATCCTGGATCATTTGCGTTGCAGCCATGCCGACTCTAGGAGATAGGCTTTACGAACACCGGCTCGCCGGTCGATTCTGTGATGTGGAGTTACTACCGAGCGATTCGTCGGACGGAATCAAGTGCCATAAGCTCGTTCTCATGGCTTCAAGCGAATACTTCAGCTGCATGTTTTCCTCGGGTGAGCGGGGCCTGCCTCTTCATCACCGGCGATGCAGTCTCATTTCCTCATAGCGACGGATTCCTCTGCCTCTCGTTGTTGTGAATCGCTTCGTACTCCGGAGATTTCACAACTACGACCATCATACTTCCAGTAACTAAAGTTTACCTCTTCGTTCGCAGGCATGCGTGAAACTACCGCAGATTGTGTGAGGCTAGGAGATTGTCGTTCGGACGTCCTCCTCGCTCTCATTGATTTCCTCTACAAGAGCGAGCGTCCCCTCGGTATCACTTGCGACAACGTTCTTGAGCTCTTCTCGTGGGCGATCCGTTGCGATCTTCCGAAACTCAGCGAATTTTGCTGGGAGTTCATCCGCAATTCTCTAGGACCTGATAATGCCTTCAGTGTCTTATCGTTCGCCATAGCTCATCATCTAAAGGACGTCAGGTGAGTTCTGCGCCGGAAATAAATGCCTGCCCATGAGAGTCTAGAGTTCCCCATCTGGAAGTTTTATTAGAGCTTCCACTCATGGACTTTCAGGAAAGAGTGCATTTCCATGATTCAGAATGCATTCAGTCTACTCGCCGATGCCGACGAGTGGTCTGATTTATCTTATGGAACGCTGAAAGAGATTTTATCTCGCCAAGTGCGGGTATACCACGAGGAACTCGTGCTAGACATCCTCATGCGTTGGACACAGCAGCATTCGGATGAGAAAGATATCCTCAGCCTGGTGGACGTCGACGGCATCTCTGAAACGTCTGTCGAAAAGTATAAAGATTTCCTGCAAAGCGTCCATTACGTCCCGAAAGGACCGACGAGCAAGTGAGTCATTTCGAAAGACATTCCTATTTCAACTATTACGGAGCCAATTCCTATCGCTTAACTTGCGCGCTGAGTCGTTCGGGGCAGAGCTCGAGAGTACCGCCCCATTCCGAGAATGTCGGCTCCAGATTCCGGCAATTGGAAAAAATTCGCTCCAATGAGGGCGGTCCCCTCTCGGTTCTCTACTGCCCCTAGGTGTCGTTCGATCGGAGGGGAGAGCGTAGGGATCGAGACCTAGGTTGCTCGCGTGACTTCTAACGGAAAAATGTTCATTGTCCAGAAGCCCTACATTCCACGCTCACCTGATGCTCCAATATAAACACGAAATCGGACTCTTAGCTGTGATCTGCGTTACGAACAGACATGTCGAGATTTATCGCTATCCAGAGATAAGCATCAGCGAATACGACCGGCAGGAGAACTACAGGGTGATGTGTTGTGCGACGCACACCGATGGCATTGTGATAGGGGTGTGTCGCAACCTGGGCATTTTTTCCTATAACCACACGATCCGCCAAGTGAAGTTTTGTGAGAATTTGCAAATGTGAGTGATCTAGTCTGTTCCTAATCTCTTTCATTGAGCACCTCCTCCGACATTGACGCGTCTGTCACAGTTCAAGGCTGTCTCAAAACTTAGGATTTTTCCACGTCAACAGACAAAGGGGTGCGGGATGCAGCACGAAAGAGGCCGCCGTCCTCGACGTTGTATCCGTCGGCAATCAGCTCTGGGCATTGATGCGGGACTCGCGTTCCAATACTTATCGGCTCTCCTTTTACTCGGCACATCTAAATGTGTGGGACTCATCGATCGAGGTCCCCAACGACGCCCACAAGATTATCGGTCCTCGTACCAACGTTCTAGGTCCAAATCTCTTCATTCTTCGGAAGAATGGAAACCTCATGTACGCTCCCGTTTCGGTAAGAGTGCTTTCTCTCTCTCTTTTGGGAGCGAAATATCCATCGGAGCGAGCCTTCATGGCCTAGTAGATGATATTCTTCCTGACGCGGCGGACTATTTTTTGCAGCACTTGCAGTCTTATTCAGTTTCCGAACTCCAAACCATAGAGCCCGGTCCGAATCGGAAGTTGTTCGACTGTGAAGGTCTTTACATCCCGGGCGGTCTTGTGATGATCCATGGCAAGGATACGGCTTGCGACTTCTGGACTTCTTGTTATGATGAAACATCTGGGGAATGGAAACCCGATGTCGTCAGGCTGGTCCACGATTCATCCCAGGACGACGAGGTTAGTTAGGTTTGGGCATCTCAATCGGCAAATCGGATTCGTCCGAAAGTGTCATCGCGGGAGTCTGTAGTCTCATTATCAGTAGCGTACCCTGGGAGGGAAGGGGGGCGGCAAGGGGCTCCGGAAACTCTCCGTAATCCTGTCGAGGAAGCTCGGACGTCAACCTACAACGATGTCTTGGCCTCATTTTCAGGATGTCTACGCCTATAAACTGTTCCTCGAAGGTTCTGACGTGTACCTAATTGAAGAATGGAGCTCTGGCACTTTCACGTTACACCGATGGGCTCCGCAAGATGTCAGATGGGACATCGTGAAAGTTTTCAAACAGCCGCGGGCGCGGCTCGTCGGCCCTGTTCACTTGAATGATTGTAATGCCGAATCGGACTAGTCAGCTGATTGTACATGGATATTAATGACGCTTATTGTTATTGTTATTTGTGGGACACGTTCCCTCAGTAGATCCTCCGGGTCATTGTGCCGGCAGCAGGAATTAAACCCACGCCAAGAGGCGAGCGGCATCGTTGCGGCTTGGCACTCGACACCCGTCGGTATTGTCTCGGTCGAGGTTTCCGATGAGACCGAGTTTCTCATACGCAATGCGTGCCGCCTTCGACCACCCTTAAGTTTTCAACATTCAGATTGAGGTCCGACCGGGATCCGGACGTTGGAATGCTTAAGCATCAATCGTTGAAACTCGCAGCAGAGAGCTTTACACCAGTGATACAATCGTATGGTGTTCCGACATCCTACATGTCAGCCGCGACGAAACATTCCCGAGCCTTTGATACCTCTGAGGACCCTGGGAATCGTTTCCGAGAACCCTGACGCCCACGCTTATTGGATCCGATGAAGACCCGGAAATCGCCGGTCCATTTCGCCGGACAGTTTCGGGAACCACTGCTCCATGTTTCTGATGGGATCCGTCTGAAGAATATCTCCATGATCGACAACGCATATACTTGATAATGCGACAGGCCTCGTCATTGTTATCGATAAGTTTTCCTCAATAAATGGTTCAAGCCTCTGGGTCGACTCCTCCTTCACCACAGTTTCTCTGACATCAAGGGGAGTCATTGTAGAGCGTCAACATGATATAGAATACAATTTTCCATCGTTTCCGAAGATGCTCGAATTCTTCTTTCTTATTGCAATCCTCTCCTCCAGCATCCTCGTGACCATAGCAGATCTTACAATAAATATACATCCATCCATATACAAAGCTTTACAAGTTCGCTCTCACGCTTTAACAATGTCTTCAACATGGCGTGCGCTGATTCTTCATTCCAGAGCCCTGCGCAAAAAAATTCGCGACAGAGATTCTGGAGAATGTTTCACACCCAAGCTCCGAGCAGGTCCTCAGCTGCTGAAATAACTTCGGGTCGACCGAGAGATCTCACGAGCAGCAATAAGTTCGTGGGCGCTTCGACCCCTCGCCGACTCGCCTCCCAAAGATCCAGAAGATGTGATGTAGGACTAGCTTTCTGAGCGAAGTATATCAGGTTCCTGGCAGGGGAGAACAAAATATTCAATTCCGATCCGGGCATCAAGGAAGCGCGGTCCGCAAGTTAAAAATACTATATCCCATCACGGTCCGATATTCTTCCCATGAGGTGGAGAAGCGAATGACGAAAGTTTCCCTCACCTGTTGTTCATTCCTAGATGCTGAGCGAGTTTCCTCCAATCGCGACCGTCGTCCCTGACAGGGTCCAACAAATCGGATAATTTTTTGCGGCAATCTTTCGAAAGCCTGAAACCATCGACTTTTTTGACGGCGCTCTTGGGCGTCGCCACCGTCTCGAAGAAGTTTCTGTATATGGGCCACGCAGTCGAAGAATTGAGATTGAGAACTTGTCGATGAGATTGATTCCCTCTTTGATATACCGTTATCCTGCACTCGAGCGGCACGTCATGTGCCGAAAAAGAGGTCGTATTCGGACACGTAAGGGTAAATGAGCAGTGGGCACTCTGCAGCGTGCTCCAGACTTTCCTGAACGGTATTTCTTGCAAGGAGCCGCATGATTCGGTCTCCCATCCGGGTGGTAGGGTCTCCTCGTCGAGCGCGACGCAGAGGTTCGCTCCGCCGTCGTGTAATTGCATCGTTTTTGGACTTTCAACCAGCGTGTAATTTTCTTCGTGGAGGGCTAGAACCGTCTGCACGGACGCCTTGGTGTCCTCTACGCAGTGGACTTTGAGTGTACGCTCTCTTTGATTTACGCCTCTCCGCTTAGAGAGGAAGGCCAAAACGGTTGAGGACTTGGTAGCGAAAGTATTCAGCTTAGATTCGCCACATAGCACGAAGGAAGCCAGATGATCCGTCTGGATGTGACAAACGTTCTCATCGACGTGACAAAGAATGTCTGTCGAGGACTCGGGAGCCTCTAAGGAGAGTTTTTTCTTCCAACTCGAATAATTTCTATTCGAGCCCTGAACGCACGACATGAGATGGACATTCCATTTGGCAGGCTCGCATGCGCAATGGTCGAACGTCAAAATCGCCGGGCGAGCGAGAACGACATCCGGAGGTCCACATTCGACGACTGCACTGAGGACACTGAACTTATCCTTGAGCCAGTTAGGGAGGTCCCGACTACTGTTCAGAACGGACACGAAAATTTTCTTCTTATTCAGGCTCACGGCACCGGGAGGGAGCGTCAGAGACACTCCGAGGTGATCAAGCGAAATGCGACCTCCTTCCGGACCGATGACAGCGCTTGCGGTGAAGGCGGATTTCTGGCTGATTGACACGTTTTCTGAACCCTCATCGGGAATCGTGTCGTAGATGAGATCGTATTCCTGGCCGCAAAGGCCTCCGCTGTGCTGAGAACCGCTTTCGCTCCGGGTGGTTTTGCTCGTGGAACTCGGCGTGTGTGACCGCTGCGTGAATGTCGCACGCATCTGCATCGGCGTCAACGAAGCTGCACAGATATTCGGAGTATACAGTTGTTGGAGGAGAGGTATCGTAACGGCAGGATCCATTTTTCTCTCGACCAGGTATTCTTGATGACGCGAATCCAGACTCATAACGTCCGCGGGTAGGGCTGCGAGAGCTGAGGGTGGGGACTCAAGTTAGAGGAAGTTCGAATGGTTCTCCGGGATGGATGTCACAACCACTCGTGACTGGGGAGAAAAACTCTGCAAACTCCGGTGAACTTCATTTTTCAAACGGACTAACCATTCACCGGTACGCTGGCGTAGGGATGGTGCGGTTGTCGTTTATTGTGAATCGCTTCATCTCGCGGCCAAAAACGAATCGCGATGATGAAGGTGAAGGCTAGAATGATGGCAGCCAAGGCCATTCCTATCACCATGGCGACTGCTTGAACACTTCCCAAGTTGGAGACGATGAATCCTACGGGGAAACGTCGGGGTCAATGTTACGTTGGCGGGCTCTCATTTCAACTGCGTTGAGGAAGAGCCTCCCCGGAGCTCGAATTCCCCCGAGAGATGTGACCTACCTTGTTCGTGTCCACCTGCCGGATGCTCATGGATGTTGTTGTTATCCATCCCGTGCATGGGGGGTGGAGGCGGGAAAGTGAGCCCGAGTCGGCATTCCCCTCCTGTACACGGCTCGGACATGTGATCCTCCTTCTCTTCGCATAGAGCCGACTTCCTGCTTGGCCGACCGACTGCGAAGGTGCATCGACGCTGACGATGCCTCCTGCAGTTGGGTCCGCACTCCGACCAAGCTGACCACGGGGTCCATATATCTGCGGTGTCCTCGATGCCCTTCTCTTTGGAAGCCGCACAATCCCTCCTCGATGAGACGCACTCGCTTTTCTCGATGTAATTCCCATAACAATCTTTTCCCCCGTTCCGTGGAGGAGGGTTCGTGCACGACCTTGTACGGCTCCGGTGGCCTCTTCCGCATTTGGAAGAACATTCGCTCCAGGCTCCCCACGGCGACCAACTACCATTCGCTGCGATCAACAATTCAGGATATCTCGATTAGATATCATCGTCCGAGTTTTCATCGATCTGTTCGCCCGGCAGCCAGCTTCCCACGTGTATTCATTTCTCTTACAGACAGGTCTCTTTACTCACCTCTGACCAGGATAGAAACGGTTTCACCGAGCCGGACTTGTTCTTTTCCGTTGGCCGCGATAGTTTTTATGCCACAAGTGTAATTGCCCTCGTTCTCGACTTTGGCGCGAAGAATGAGAAGATCGTCACCTTCGGGATTGACGTTGTCGTCGAAGAGAAGCGGGGCTCCATTCAAGTGCCAGAACGTCAAAGTTTCGGTTCCCTTCGGCGACTTCTTGACCACTTGACCCACTGGACACTCGAGCAGGACTTTTTCCCCGAACGATATCGTTCTCTGCTGCGGTTTCTCAGCTCTGCTCGGATCTGGAATCGGAGAAGATCGTTTCGATGAGGCATATCGGGGGGCTTCCAGGAGAATAAGCATAGCCGTTTCGAGCCATTCCCCATGTCTTTGGGTGGCCAATAGATGACATCGAATTTCAAACAATTCTAGTACGAAATTCAAATGACGTCATGTAGGTAATTAAATTCGTGGTTTTGCGAAGCCTCTCTATCATTTTGCTCGGTGGTATCCCGGTGCACGCACCCTGGCAGGGGACCCTTTGTTCTTGAAGAGAGATATTCAGCAAGCTAAGGAAGGGATGGTCATATATGAAAATAATAACAGTTATTAGCCTGGTCCCCGAAGAACGTGCCACGGCATGCGGGTCCTGATAGAGCCAAACAGACTCGCGCGACCTGTGGGCTCAGAGTGAAGTCTCGTTTACAGAATTCGAGCCCTGACTCATAACATTGTGCCGCGTTGGAATTCCTCAGTACCTACTCCCTTCTCCACCTTGATTTCCTTTATCTTGGAACTCTGTTCTGCGGTGAGACCTCAAAGAGAGATCCGCTCTCGCCAAAGAGGGACCAGGATAATCTTACTCGGCCCATCGAGAAGAAAGCCGAACGGATGAACATCTGAGACGGCGGTATTTCCCGACAATGAATTATGCGGAAGATTCTTCTCCATATCTCTGTCTAGATGCCGGCTGACTCAAATAAGTCGTAACGAGCACCCGGCTTGTAAGGTAAACTACCAAACGAGCATTGGTATTCTCAGCAGAAAAACACGCGCATTCAGCTCGCGTTCCATGAGGAAGAAATTCTTCGGATGAAAAACGAGCTGTCGGGCGGCGAAACTCAGCCTGAGGACGCCAGTTCTCCCTCTTTATTTTCCTCCCCTCCCTCCGTCCCTCTGATCAAGAAGTGAATCTCCCGAGCCTACAAACTAGGAAAGGGGCGAGACATTGCGATGCTGTGCTGTACTGATGTTTATTCATACGAACGATCATCACGCATAATGCTCCGGGATTCTTTTATCTCAAGCATTCTCGGAGATGTCACCCGCAAATCGAGATATCGCGCTACGTAGATCCGATCGGCTGCCCACAGCCGCCGCATATTGACTGTGTCGAAGGAATTCGACGCATACGGCGCTCGAAGCCTCCGCGGGACGCGATACGCTCTGAATGGCTAGAGACGAGAGGCTTCCTCAATTCTCGATACCAGGGGTGCGCGCCGTCCTAAACCGGAGGGGAAGAACGCGGTCATGGCGAGCTCCGAGTAAGACTCCACGCTTGAACAAAAGATTTCATACGGAGAGCTCCTTTCCATTTCTGAACCCGGTGATCTCTGTTGACAGCTGACAATCGAAAGTTTTCACTGTTGCTACGCTCGGCGAGCTTTCAAGCCACGGCGGACCGTTTTATTTAGACATTCGTCTCGACACATCTGTCACCCGCTGGAAAAGCAGGAAGTCAGTCGTTGCCACTCGTTAACCGATAGTGCTTTTGAATGTTTACTTATTAGGGAGTTGAGAGCCGAAAAAACTCGACGGCCCACCTCTGTCCTTCGTCATCGACGAGCCGTAAACACTGCGAGTTTTAAAGACGATATCGAAAAAATATTCGGAAGAAGACCTGAGGTGGAGCCGGCCCTGCTGGAAATGCGGACCCTGCTACTCTTATGGCGGGTTCCTCGGGCACGTGTAAACGGTGTGAGCTCAGAGATGGCAAGCGCTTTCCGCATCGTCATTCTTCCGTCGGGGCGGGAAGTACGCATTCTGTGGTACAATATGACGACGCTCATTCGTTCCCTTTATATGGAGGCGCGTTGTGAGTCGCGAGCACATCGGAGCCGAGTCCGGATCTTTGGTCTTGGAGGGTTTCATGGAAGTTCCGAAAAAGAAACATGACCTGTGTCGTGCTGAACACAGACCTCCTTTATGTTCGCATGCGTAATCTGAGCCACGATCGCGGTGGCTACAACAACGCCGAACACAATACTCACAATCCCTAAGACGCAACTGCATCGGAGGAAACGCCTTACATTAGACTTCCGCGCACCTGAGGGAATATGCCCGCGGATGAGCTCGTCAGTGACATTTCTCCTGTTCTCGCAGATCAACCGCTGTCACGTCCGACGGCATGCTACCGGCATACATATCACTGGAGAAGATCGGGGAAAAAATCCCCGCTCTAATTATTCGAGTTTATCGTTACTCCAATGAAAGGCTCCTTCAAATTTTGCTGATGATTAGATAAATGATTATAAATCCCAGAAGTTGACCAGAGAAGTCGTCGATCAGACAGGGATTGGCGTTCGGATCGCCGAAACAGGCTCTGTATTATTTCTTATTGAGATTATCACATCAGCTGGCTGTAAGAACGTGTGATTTCACAGTCATCCATCACACGAGATCGCGACCCAGGATACATTTCCATTGGGCCTCCACTGCGCTTGTCATCGGCGCTGTCGATGCCATCTCGGTTCTTTCCCAGGTGTGTATAAATAACTCGATGCTCGATCATGATCGTCTACCGAAATCGACTTCGAAACCCATGGATTCCAGAATAGATCATTTGGGCGACTTCCCCTGGGCGAAAGCGATAGGAGAATGCGTATCCTCGTCATTACGCGCCGAGGATCGGCCCAGCTCCGACCCGATCTGACGGCACGGACCATCCGTGCACATTCGCAGCGAGGTGTATGCTTTCGCTAACGCCGAAAACGTTGAATTTTCGCGGATATTTTATCTTCCCGCATGTCGAGGGAAAATTCAGGCTACGGCTCAACTAACCTGTTGTGAACTTCACCGTGGCGACCCTCGACGTTGAATGTCCTTTCGAACTCAGCGCTTGGCAGGCGCAATACAAGGTGACGTTATGATTTTTCCTGTCGATATGGAAACGATGCAGAACTGTATCGCCGATCTCCGCCTGGATTTCCATCTGTCGTATTCCTGAGTAGGGATGTACGAAATCCGAAATGGTCCTCGCGGTCAGCGGGAACACGTCGAGGTCTCCAGCATGACCGCTTTGCGATGGATCCTGGCTCGAACATTTCACTCGAATGGAAAACGTCTGACTGGCTGAGCATTGCAGGAAATCCGGCGGTCCGTTGCGATCAAGAACGACGGTCACGTCGAGGGGCTGCCGTTCGAAGAGTGGACCCTGGTTCCGTTCGTGTGGCAGACGTTCCGCTGTTTCCGGATCCTCGCCATCGTCCTCATCGTCGTCGTCATCATCCTCGAGATCATCTTCGACGGTGTCGGCTGGAAATTTTCAAATTCATTAGTTATGCGGCGAACGTAAGGTCACAACGACAATGACCGTAGATTTTCTCGCAACATCCAACTTTAATGGCGGCATAGAGGACCGACGTTTCCGGAAGCTCGGAAGGGACGAAATGAGACTCTCACTGGCGACATCTGAATCTTCCGAAGATCATCCAGCGGCTCCTGTCGACGCATCGGACGAGCGATCCCTCCGACGACGGAGGATCCGACTTTGGAAACCGCACTGACGCCGCATTTCGAGACCTTATCAAGCCATGACAGAGTCTTATTATCTGACGGCGTCCACTTCGATAGGAAGATCTGCGGAGCGTCGAGGGACATAAACACAACGTGAGCGCGAATCCGCAACTCCAATCCCCCTCGGGTCGGTCCCTTTGTCCAACGACCTGTCCGCCAGAATTGGCCGAACGTTTGCTCGGCGTGGCGATCATGGAACACGAAGACACAAGCTGATAATCGCGAACGTTCACGATCTCGATGATGCTGGTTCAATGATTTACCGAGCAGAGCAGAGATGCCATTGAGAGTTAATAGCAGAAGAGCAGGAAAGGAGAAGATGAGCTCGTTAGCAACGGAACATCTGACCCATCATTTGGTCAGTCGAGATAATTCACCCACTGAGAAATCTGCTGAGTTGAGCATGCCACCACCGCCACTCCACAGAAAGACGGAGTCCGTGTCCCGTGAGTCCGGATTTTTTTTCTAAAATCGATGAGTATCCAGTGGAAACACAGGGAATTTTCGCCAAGTGTCAGAAGGAGGCTGGCGACGATAAGTCAGGGTCAGACAGCGACTCTTGAGAGCGGTAGGCGTTGAATTGAATACCATTCATTCGCTCGTTCGAGATATTATCGACCTCTGCTGGAATTTAGAGCGGGGGGTACTGATATCCCGAGGTGTCTTAACGGCCTCCCCGGCGGGTAGAAACTCGATCGCTCGCGTTTCCTTCGATAAAAAAAGTTGGAAGGCGAATCACGTCTGCTGTTGATGGATGAGGACGAGAGTGGATGAAAAAATCAACGTAAAGGAACATAAAAGTATCAGAAGAGAAAAATAGAGCTCTGAGCCTTCTCTACACAGGCTCTCGTTGTTCCGATAGACATCGACCTGGGATCACTGAGTGAGATCACTCGACGGAGAGAAAAAAAGAAAGAGAAAAATGGCAACCGCTGTCCGTAGATTTCGAGTGCATGTCTGTCAGCCACTTGTCCATTCATGAGACGATTGTGACGGTTTCTATTTTAAAACATTGGGCCTGTAATGTTTTCCACCCCACAACGCGAGTCTCTGTATGAATGATCTTTCACATCCGGCCCGGCCTCAGCTTAGCACGTGCATCGGACATTTGTCAAAGATGAACGCTCGTCATCAGACCGCGATCATGCCCTACTGCCCAACTACAGAGCTCCCACGATCTGCTGGGAGCGGCGGGGCATACGCAATCATCATAAAAATATAACATTCAACAACGATTGTCGACTGTCCCTGAAAGTTGAACGTCCCTTATCTCAAGTTCCAGAATGCGGATAGGAAGGTCGATGGCCTATTCTAGGCTAAGGCGCCCGCAATTTTCATCGAGCTCGAGAATTTCGGTCATTCCATGGCTCCGGCAGCCGCACAGATATTCTGAGTATTGCTGCTTGGTGTCGCACGAATCCGAAAGGAATCTCCAGGTCCGCATCCGCCGAAAACAAGGTTGGTCCGCATGATGTACCCGATTCCGCGCGTTAATCTTCTTCAGGCCGCGTGGCTTGAACCGCTTCTGTTGAATCGTTTCGTTGTCCTTCCGAGAACGGAGCCATGGTGGCGGATGCCGTGCAGGATGCAGCCGAAGAAGAAAAAAGGAAAAAATCGACGAAACTGCTTCGCCCATCGGTAGCGAAGGGACAATTCGTCGTGACGGTGCCTTGTGCGAAGAGCGAACGAATAGACGAACGCATGGATGGAATGCCATCAGAATGCACAACTGAACGGCGGTGCCCCGTAATTGGGGATCTCTCGCGAGCGTGGTTGACATCGAGAAATCTTCTCACAACATACGAACGCTTCAGATGGATTCAGGGATGATTCGCCACTTAGCTCATTACAGCACTTGATGACAGACACGCCGAGAGCTTATTTACACTGGGAGTCATTCAGTCAGTCTGTATACCGCGGCCGTGTGTTTGAAAAGCAAGCTCCAACGAGATTTATTCCATGGCTCATTCCGGGAAGAACAAAGCACCGTCACGATTTCATGGGGAATGTACGCGATGAGCGACACGATGGATGGCAGCAGTAGTGAATCGAGAAGGGCCCACGGCTCCGACCCCTGATGTTTTCCCAAGATGATCGAACCGAGTCTCAGCAGACTGATCATGAGTCGTATCTCGGGTACGGGATTGATCGAGTCCATATCGGTTCCTCTGGCCATCCGTCGAGCCGCAGCCAAACAGCTTAAGAGCGGATAGGGGATTCCGTCATCGGCAGCCAGGCCGCCTCCGGTCGGACCTTTTACTCAGCAGCCGGCAGGCTCCATTTGAAATGAACTGACCCACCAGACTGGCTCCGCTCATTAAGATGTGCCGCCGCTGCCTTCACCACTGCCGCCGCGCGGTGAGAGGAGAGCCCGCGGTCCCTGAACGTTCACAGATAATCGTCGACAGAAGGAAAATCCAACCCTGTCCTGATACGACAAACTGCGTCTTCAATCATCAGAATACGCGGTCCATTATCCCGAGTCCCATCCAGCGGATAACCAAATCTCTTCGTCTGTTTGGGTTTTCGTTAATTTCTCTATCAGTACGCCGCGCGAAGCTCCGCTCACCGAGCGGCACTTTGTCTCCGATCGCTGCCATGCACAAATCAACGCTCCGCTTGCATAGCTCCCAGTCAGTCAGCGTCATGAATCGCCGCCTAAGCTCCCCCGTCAACAACGACCGAACAAATGAACGAACGGACGTGCGTTATTATTTTGATGATGATCGTCATCAAATGGCGAGCATCATAATTACAGCTGTGAATCCACAATCGCATTGCGAATACAGATTTAGTGTCGAGAGGAGACGCCATGAACGGATAGTCGCTGCTAGCGCCCTCGACGAGGTCGGACACGATTGTTTATCGAGTCGGGAAATGGCGGCGTAGGACGTCGTCGAAATTAACCCCCGCCTTCAAGGGACCACACCGAAGCGTTGCTGTAAATTTGCAGCAGTACCGGCAAAGATATCTCGCGGACCACCTCCAGGAATACAGAAGATCAACGACGGAGATTATCCTCGAAAGAGATAAAGCATCAAGTACTGAGTCTCTTATCTTTCGGAATTCCGTGCGTCTCCCCAGGCTAATGGGCAGAGGATTTGCTGATGATGATGAAGCTGGTACGCGATCCAGCTTTCTTCGCGGAAAGTACAATCTACGATGTCTCTAGACCGCCATGATCCATGATACAAGGGGCTATTCGGATCACCGCTCGCTTCGTGGCAGTACCTCTCACTCTGCTTTGAGGGGTCCTCCTATTGGATTCGATCGATGTTTTACCCTCGATCGATGCCTGATGCCATCCGGAGGGGATTCGCTCGGATCTCATGGCCCCTCTCCGCGGGACCCTCGCTGAAGACCCTCTCTACGCACATTCGGCATATTTCCGAGCCTCACGTCGAAATTTCCGGCTCCCGAGGCCAGCTCGCACTCGAGTCTGGTAGTCGTAATCAGTCATCCACAGCCTTACAGTGGAGCCTGTGGGGCAATCCATAGTCCTACGGACTTCGCTACTTTCGAACACAACTGATTGTGAACCTTTGAAGTTCGAAGCCGGCGGATAGAGAATACCGCTATGGGACCACCGCAGAGCGTCAAGGGTAGTGGAATCCACGTAAGCGAATTCGATATCCCTCGTCGCTTCTCCTCTATAATCCCATCGGGGTTTCGCTTTCTCCTGTGTTTCATCCTCATGTTCCCCTCTCAAGCATCGGCGCCCTCATGACGAAATTGATCGTTTTTCTTTCGGTTGGTATTGAGATCGCTGTGTTCCGACGGCATGGGCGTGTCCCTCCGACGGAAATCCACTCGTTCCGATACTTTCAGAAGACGAAGCGGATCAGAAGAAGAAACATGGATATAAATATCTATGGGTATAAAAAGACAAAATAATATTGATGGAGCGTTGAGAGCTCCGGAGTAATTACAGCCCACAACGCTATCTCTCACTGGCATCAATTTCGCCTCCTGGAGGTCACTGTCGTCATCAGCGTCTCTGTTGTTGTCGCCGTCGTTGTTCTAGTCATCATCAATTTGAACTCTATTAGAATATTGGCAAACTTTCAATCGCTGTAGTGTGCGTTCAGGCCTTATATCAGCCTCCTCGATCGCCGTCGTCCGTGGATCGTTGGATCCAAAATATGCAGCTCGAAAATTCCATCTCGTCTCCTCGGATAACGCGGATGATCCATCCCGCTTTTATACCCACGTATAGTGTCGCGGCATCTTTTATGTTACTTTCCTTCCCTCCGAGAAGTTGTCACATCTCGATCCCGTTCGTAATACGAAACCGAGTAGTATTTCTGAAGATGTTTTATGGGTGTTTTTGAATTCTTCATCGTCCGGCGGGAGTATCCGCGAGGCTCAGCAGAACGTGAAGTGTCAAACGACTTCGTCAATTCTCAAAATCTCGCGGAGCGAAACTTCAAAAACACCGTCTGACAACTACATCCATTCGTAAGGTGGAAATCGTTCTTTGTTTCAGGCTTTCGCCATCATCAGCGGTCGCATCACAGGCATCATCATCATCATTTTCTGTGTGTTTGTGGACGGCCGTTTGAATGACTACTGTGAGGGGGCTACGACCTCGCCTAATGATCCGCGCTTGGCAGCACAGGCATAAACTTAACTTTTTCTCCGCAGAGGCAAAAACTGTCTCTGGAAAGGGGAAAACTCCTTCTTTCGAACGTCAAGCCCGAGCATCCCTCAAGTTCGGCACATGCCTCTATTCCGAACAC